TTCGGAACCTTCGGAACCTTCTCCCGAACCTCGTTGAACCTGACCCGGCACCTGCACCAGCGCGCACCGGAGCTATTCTGGGCTGAAGACCCCATTAGCTTACGCTGTTGGGGAATAAAGGCATTGGCATTTTGTGTTCGGGCTCCTGAGAAGCACAGGAAAAGGGAGAGATCAACAGAATATCGCCCGCTGGAGCGGTGATCGCGGCATGGTAACCCTCCCGCCCGCGGGTGCCTCGGGAGGCAGCTGCTTCTTCGCCTTTCTTGCTGTCGCTTTGGCTTCCTTCTCTCTTTTGCGTACTTCTTGGAGAGTCATCTCGTTTGCTACCTTTTGCTTCAGAGCCTCCGGATATTTTGGGCGTCACTCAAAATCCGAACGGGTCCACACCTTGCACTAGCACATGCTCTGCTGATCAAAATGTTCTCTCACCTGAAGCGGCAACAGAGCTTAAGAAATTAGATGAAATTAGAGGATATCAGAGGATGCAACTGCAAGCAAAAGTAAACACGCGAGGTTCTGGTGTTCGTGAGGAGCCCACGGGCTCGGCTTGTCTTTTGCAGGTTGGCAGGATACATCCTCAAGGCCCCCGAGCGAGACGCACATCATTGCTTTAGAGCGTTACCAAATGCAGAAGCGCCAGGCCGCTAAGCAAGTGCAGCTTACCCAACCCCCTGGCACGAAATAAGCAAATGGCAATACCATTGGTATACAAATGTTTTTTTCAACAGGTCTTTGTCGAAGGCGGTCGTGCCTCTAACCTCTCTTCTTCCAGGAGACATGTTTGAACAGCCGCCCTGCACTAGGAGGCGTTGGAAGCGCGATCTGAAATTAGTGCGCAGCTGTCACTGACAGGACTGGTTTCCCTGTTTGCTCCCGCCTTGTCGCGCCTGGTGGTTTTGAGGCTGGCCGCTTGCGCAAGGGCTGTTTCAACCGGCGAGTCATGCAGCGCCATTGATTAGATTTGACTTTGGCAGCTCCACATACGCATTTCAAAACCAGGAGACACCACCTCCTCATATTCTGCCTCTCCCAAAAACATGGGGCCATTTCTCAGCCAAGTAAATTGATGCCCTTCAATCACCTTTGTATGCCGAAGAAAAACGCGTAAATGGAAGCGGGGGAGCAAAGGGGAAAGCCACACGCGTTCCCTGAGCGCCGCGGTAAGCCGCCACAGCTTCTCAGTGAAGCCAGAAAGCACTTGGCTGCCCATGGTCGGCCGCTTCCATGCCTTGAAATCGATAGCAACCACCCACCAAGGGTTTCAAGCAGGCACAGCGACAAAACTATTGCACATTTGCAAGAATTTGAAAATCCTCTACTGGTTTCAAGGGGAAGCGAAAAAAACCTGCATTTCTAAAAATAATAAAATCATTGTCAGCAAGCTGTCAACAACTGGTTGATTTTTCTGTTCCGACGAAAAAGAACCCATTATATCTTGCTAATAATTTGTCAAAACCAGTAGTTTCGCACAAGGCGGTGGCAAAAGTTTCTAAGGTAGGACACCTGTAAAGCCCACTCAGCAACAAAACATGAACCCAGGGCTGTGGACCATGTTTTCCCCAAGTTCGTTCCCAGGGTAGCCGGGGATGCCTGGGATGCCTGGGGTGCCTGGGATGCCTGGGATTCCTTGTACCCCCCAGTGTGGGGACTTCTTAGTAGGTTCCTGGCATGATGTAAATCCTGCAAGTCTTTCTCTTGAGGCCCTAGCTGGGTGATTTCAATTGGGTGAATAGTCATAATCAACTAACTCATTGAATGTTACTATGTACCAATGTATTTGTCAATGTATTTGTCAATAATTTGTATTTGGCATTGGCATTGACCGGCTTTGAATATTTCAATTCATGGAATCATGGAATCTTTCAATCTTTGAGCGTCTTGGATCGATTGTCAAAACAATCAAAAATACCCTGGTATTTTGATGATCACAATGGGCCAATGAGGGCTGAGTAAAATTGAGTCAAGGCCAGCTGATAGCCGATGCGATGATAATTATGTTGGCGACGATGATGCTGACCATGAGGGTGCTGAGGGTGACTATGATCCCCAAGTAGACAAGTGGTTGGTGTGATGCATGGATGGCAGAGCGAATCCACTGATGGACCGAAAGGTGGTTGGAGTCGTGTTTTTTGGAACGGTTGCAATGGTTGCAGTGGCCACCTCAATTCAGCCCCAAAATTGCCAAATTTGCGGGCCGAGAGCCCTGCCCAGACAGCTCCAAAATGGCCAAATTTGAAGCCCACGCCCTCCAGATTCAGCCCCAAAATTGCAAAATTTGAGGCCCAGTTCCTGCCCAGATCCAGCCCCAAAATGTCATTTGTTTGCGTCAAAGGTCTGCGATTGTCAGCTGCATCTCTGTGTGTGTCTGTGTCTCCACCTGTTCCTGCCCTGACCCGCACAGCTTTCCACCAGTACCCCATTCACAATTGCACACGTGTCCATTGTTTGGACGTGTCTGGATGGAACAAGTCACGTGAAACTGAGCTACAGTCCACGGGCACGTTTGTTGTGGCACTTTAAAGTCTCGCAGCAAAAATCGACGCATGTGTATATATATATATATATATATCATATATCACTTATCATTTATAATATTTATATGAATAATTCTTGTTGCACATATTTGGGAAATGCCTCCTTGCAAAAGCGCCAAGTCCCTCCAAGATGGAACGGCTGATCAATTTAGGCCACCTTTATCTTCCTGCGCTGCGCTGCTTGTTGCGCAGTGTGTCACAATGCTTATTGATTATTGATGAGTATTGCATGGCTTATAAAGTATTATACAATATTAGACAAAGTCAGCGGCATATCTCCCTGGCCACGCTTTTTCCTTGTCAAATCTGCTTGAATTGCTGGCGGGCCAGGTCTGGACAAATGCAAGGGCAAATTTGGTGGTCAAAACCCCTCTTGAACATCCCAAGAAGCAAACTCAAGAATCGTCGTGTTTTACTTGCGTGCCCTGGTTCTGGCAGGTTTTTGGATTTTTTGGCCAGAGTATTGTTTTATGTCTTGGGATGTTCAGTCTTGACCTGTCACATCGCCGAAAATTGGACGAAGCCCAAATGGGACATCTTCGAAAACGTGCTCGCCTGGCCGGAAAAGGATAGCAGGATATCAGTGCCTTCGACAAAGAGAGGAGAAAAATGGAGAAAATTGTTTCCGAAGTTTCAGGGTCTCAAAGACACAGCCCTTTCAACAAAATGGCAGCGATTGGCATCATTCATTTTTCCATGGTTGGCTTCATGTGGGGTACAAGGGCCTTTTTCGGGGGATGGGGCACCCTTCGAAAGGGCTGAAACCGTGAATGTGTGTGTGTGTGAAACACCTGAAGAGATGAGAAACTTCTAACAGTTGGTTTGCGTTTAGTTTCAGCAGGGGGGTGGAGCAGGCCTGCAGAGCTCCACTTAACAAAGCTCTCTGCAGTGCCCTGAGGATGTCACTGGAGACGTCCAGTGACGTACCTGCACAGTTGTGATCACCTGTTGTTCAGGGTTTGCTTCCATTCAATTTTCAGTGTGATGATGGGACGAGGCTCAACCCAAGAACCTCCAAGTCCTTTTTTTGCAATTTGCTGCACCGTTGCCGCAAAATGTCAATTTGGGAGCGATATGGTTTTGTTGACAGGGAAGGGTCAGCTTCCAAGTTTCTCATTCTGCACTGGCTATGGCGATGGTAGCTTTTTGATACTTGTCGGTTCCCTTCATCGACCCACTCCTGTTAGGTGTAATTGAAATGTTTTTGCACGTAAGACGCGTTCCACAACAAAATTCGCAATGGCAATTCTGAGTAAGTGCGTGACTCATGCTGGAGTCGTCAAGATGGCATGAATACCTTTCTAGGTAGGAAGTTCGAACCTCCGACCTGATCTCTGAATTTACAATTTTCAACTTGGTAATTCGTTTAAGTGAAACAATTGGCCTTTTCCTCATGTCTCACTGTCGAATGATGCGTGTTGAACTACGTGCCGCTGTGCCTGGCTTCACTTTTTTCAGAGCGCTTGCATAGCTGGAAGCCGCGACAACATCTTCATTTTCCGCGCTGCTCGAGTGACTGCTCAGTTTTATCGCTATTTGAACATGACAAGGTCTAGGCTTCAGGACATGCCTTTCAGGTGTCACCGGGGTCCTGGGGTCGGTGACCAATGAAGACACCTCCCCGGGACCCGTGCAAACGTACCTGCGGGACCGTGGTGGCCACCAGCTGCGCATACAACTCCATATATATATATATACATACATACACATGTAACTAACCTAATTGCACGTTAGGGGGCCCAGTGCCCGACGGATCACTTAAAAGATCCACTCTTGTCTAATGTGAAACATCTGAATAGATGTAAAACTTCAAGCAGTTGGCTTGCATTTAGTTTCAGCAGGAGAGTGGAGCAGGCCTGCAGAGCTCCACTTAACAAAGCTCTCTGCAGTGTCCTGAGGATATCACTCGCGACGTCCAGTGACGTACCTGCACAATTGTGATCACCTGTTGTTCAGGGTTTGCTTCCATTCAATTTTCACAGTGTGATGATGGGAAGAGGCTCAACCCAAGAACCTCCAAGTCGTTTTTTGCAATTTGCTGCACCGTTGTCGCAAAATGTCAATTTGGGAGCGATATGGTTTTGTTGAAAGGGAAGGGTCAGCTTCCAATTTTTTCATTCTGCGCTGGCTATGGCGATGGTAGCTTCTTGATACTTTGCCGGTCTCTTCATCGACCCACTCCTGTGAGGTGTAATTGGAGTGTTTTTGCACGTAAGATGCGTTCCACAACAAAATTCGCAATGACAATTCTGAGCAAGTGTGTGTGTGTGTCAAATTTTCTTCAAGCACACCTCTGATTTTTGTTTGCCTTATTCTCAATGCGGATTCTATCCATAGGTGCTTTTGCTGTCTATGTGAGTTGCCACTTGACAGAGTTGGGCCACGCCAGGGCGTGCGGGAAAAAGCGACACCCTACCCAAACAACAAAAAACAACAAAAAAACAAAGTCAGACCGCGCCTTTTGGCTCAAAGTTCAGATTTTCCCTTTAGAAGCGGCAGCTTTCCCAGAAGTTTCTTAGCCTTGCGAAAGTGGTTGCTCAACTTCTTCGGAAATCATAGGAAATCATCTTCGTCTGACTTGGCGTGAAATCATTTGAACTGGTTTAAATGCAAAGTTCACTACTTAACCGAAACTTATGAATCATTGAGCTGATGAAGAAAAGCGCAAACAACACATGGAGTTCCAACGTTGGAAAACACTGCGTGGCTCGCAGGGACCATTCTGCGCCTTGGGCCAAGCTTTCAACGTGGCCTGGAACTCCTGGAGGAGAAAGCGGAGCGTCTTTGTAGCGTCTTTCAATATTAACAAAAAATTATTATATCATGGCAGGTCAAACATTTAGTCAAATCGCCCAGGGGAGCGAGCACAATACTTGACCGCTAAGCATTGCAAGCCATTGCGCAAAGGTGCATTTTGCCGTCTTTCTATCATTAAGTTAAACTTAACCAGTGTGAATTAATGCTCATTAATTTGATGCGCAATTCCTTTCCACATACACAACCCGCTTGAGCGTTTCAAATCGTGGAGTTGGTCCCCGGTCGTGCTCCGTTTGCTCCTGAGGAATTGCATTAACGCCATGGAATGCCCCTAGGACCAACCCGATGGCCACTGCTCGCGCTGCATTGTCACCGCCAACCATCGCATTGGCCTCAAAGAAGTTATCAAAATTTGAGGAAGTGATCAAACAAGGCAGACCAAGGCAGAGAATTGAATCGAATCGTCGGATCATTTTGAAAAGTTTGAGTTTCGGTCTGGGTATTTGGAGTTCTGCAGCTTAAGTTCCCCGGCTTTGAGCCCAGCCACCAGGTCATCTTGATACCTGTGTCTCTTGTATACTTCGCTGCGCGGCTGTGTCCAAAACGTGACAACTGATGCAAACAGCAGTCCCTCTTATCACAATCGCATGCAAGTCATGCAACCTAATATGTTTAAAATGCACAACGATACACTGTTGCACATTGAACGAAAAAACTGTTTACCTTGGTTTACCTTGGTACACATTGATTGTGAGGCAGGCGGCTTCAAAATTATGTAGATGCTCCCAGGCAGAGTTCCTTCAGTAGGAGATGCCTTGCCAACCTCACTGCAAAAGGCTCAATCAAAACGAACCAGGAACGAAGGCCAAATAAGTTAATATAGCAATGGAGTAGCGCCAGCTTTTACCCCTAAACATCCGTCAATACTTAAGCACAAAGAGCTGCAGGAAGCCACTAATGTCTTGACATGCCATGTACAGCTTCGCACACCCCCGCAGAAGGAAAATTCGGCAGGAATGTTTCCTCTGCCTCATTCAGTTTTCGTCAGTCCTGCAGCTAACGCAGCCGGCTCAAGCTCCAGGTTTCGCTTCGGGCGCCCAGAACCATAATTTTCGTCGGCATCGCTCGTCAGCTCCATCACCCTGGCTCTCAGTCCTGGACCTCCAGCCGGTATCAATCTCATCGCATTGTCCTCCGCAGCTTCCCTGCCTTTCATCCATCTCTTCACTGCGCTGACTGCCGTCCACGGCATTGTCATCGCGGCCCACAGGACACAGAACATCAGCCCATAGAACATCAGCCCATCGAAAAACCATGTCTCGGTATCCTTGCTATCCTTCTTCTCAAGCCTTGCCGGCTGAACCATTCCAAGTGCTGTCACCACTTGGATCACACTTTGGCATGGAGCTTGCCGACTGTTTTTACCACGCTTGAAGTCATACGGGTCTTCTCTTGCTCAGTTGCCCTGCACTCTGTCTTCTTGAGACTATCTTCATCTCTCCTCTGAAATTCTCCAGCTTTGCAACTGGTCTGGCAAAGCTTCCATTCCATCGTCAGCCACATCGCCATTTGCCCTCACTGCTAATGAAAACTTCTTCTGGCGCAGCACCTGTTGCACCCACAGGCTCTTTACTTCTAAGTGCCTGACTCTTCCTGCTGCTTGCCTCTGGAAACTCCTCTTGCCGCACTTGAATCCAAATGGACTCGCATCTTGGTTGGCATCCCCAAGAATCCAAATAGTTGGCCGTACAGTAGTACAGTGATAGAACAATCCGTCGATCAAGCCAAAAACGCAGGTGCTGATTTTGGACCCTCCACAGGCTGTTGGTTTTCGCCTCCTCTTGCAGTTTCCCCAAGGTGTGTCTGAGTAGCACTCCAGAATACTCCAGATATTCTGGGCTTCCTCCAGCTTCGAAATCCTCTGTGGATTGGGCGCCTTGCAAGTCCCGCCTTGCATGTCGGCCACCTTGAGTTCTTTAATGCCCGTCGTCAATTCACGTATGGCGTATTGGCAGTCTGCCGATCCTGGCGCCATGTACATCAGCGTTCCAACCGCTGCCCTGTTCAGCAATTCAGCTTCTCTTATCTTTGGCAGGTGCCCTGGCTCCTTTTGCTCCTTCTAGGTGCAAGAGCTTCTTGACGCGCATCCTTTCCCTAGGTACTCTTCCTCTTGAGGTGGTAGTACAGCTTTCCACCTGGCATGTTGTGCCAGGGTATTTCAGATGCGGCCTCTTTCTATTACAATCCCTGCTGCGAACTCGACCCACTAGCGCCCTTCCACCCTCCTGCCAGACCATTCTTTCAACAATTCCCACATCACTTATGCTGGGCACTGGCTTGAACTCAACTGCCGTGAAGAGTACTCCAGTTGCTGTCACCGGCCTTCAGCTTCTCGGGCGGTCCTCCTTCATATCTGTCCTCTATCTCAACCTCCAGCTTCTTTCACCGTTTGACTGACTCCTCAACCGCTGCTCGGTAGTCTGTCTCTTCCTCTCTTCTGAGAATCCTGATCCACTTGCATTGGGGTTTGACATCTCAGCCCTTTCTTGGCTTTCTTGCCGCTTTCCTCTTTCTTTTCCTCTGGCTCCTCCGTTGCTTTGTTCTTTGGCGTTCCTCTTGCCATGGGCAGCGTCTTTCTTCCTGTGACGCCTGCCTGTGGCTTTGGTGTTGCTGCACTTGCTTTCCTTGGTCGGCCGGTCATTGTCTCTCGGTTCCATTGCGCACCCCGCATCGGTATGATGGCTTCTGGGATCCATCGCAGCTTCTCCTCAAGCCATCTTTCTGCGCGTGCTGAATGCACTTTGTTGGTGCTGCCCACCAAGAACTGGTCACTTTCATTCACTTTTCCAAGGAATACGCCTCGCCCAACTGGAGTCTCCTTTCAGCTGGTGTCCGCTAACACTAACCTTTCTGCTGGACGAAGAGTGCAGCACCTTGAACAACAGCACTGCTCCAAATGCGAAGATTTGGCCCGTGTAACGCGCTGGCTCCCACATGCTTCTTCGTAGGCTGTCCTCATGTTGGCTTTGATGCCAAACCGTCCTCTGGCCCAGGCTGCATGTCTCATCATCCGTGGTCATGCATTCATCGCTGAAATGATCTTTTCCTCCAGGTCACTCCTCAGGGTCACCAAGTCACCTTTCTCAAGGTCTTTGGTGCTGCCCCCACCGCTCCCCCTGTTAGTAATTCGGTTGTTTTCAGGCGATTTATCTGGTTATCAGCCGTATTGGCTTTGTGATTGTTAATCTTTTGGGGGAAATCGTTTATTAGGGTTTGGGGCCCCTGTCAAAACCCCACTCGGGTGAGCGACCAGTCGCGGACACCTCCTCGTCGTCGCGGGATCCGTGGTGGTGCTCCTGCGCGTCGCAAGCGATTGGCGTGGGTGAGCTGGAACCTTTCGCAAGAAAGACAGTGGGACGAGAAACCAGTTGCCCACGCAGGTGGGCAACAGCGTCCATTGTTTTCTCCAGCGCTTGGGAGCCGGAGTCAAGTGACGACGAAGTTGATCAGACTGAGAACACTCAGGATCCTTTGACTTACCCTTCAAGGCCTTTGTCTCAGTCAACTTCAGAAGTCACTCGATTGGTCCCAAGACCCAAGGGTGTTGCAAAGTCATCTTCATCCTCATCCAAGCCATCGGTTGCGTCGGGTCCTCATGCAAAGGCATCTCAGGTGACAATTTCTCGGTCAAAATCCTCTTTTGAGAGCAGTCCCAAAGGGTGAAGCAGCATCTTCTTCGAAGGGATCGGCAACTCCGAAGTTTTCTGCGGCATCATCTTCAAAGGGTTCAGTTTTTGTTGAACCAACTGCGAAGTCAATCTCTAAAGGGTCGGTACGACCGAAATCTCCGGAAAAGGGTTCTTCATCTAAAGGCTCTGCGAAGTCGAAGTCGATGGAGGGGAGCTCATCTTCGAAGGGATCTGCATATCCCAGGTGCATTGATACGTCATATCTTCAGGGTGTGAAGTGCTGGAAGTTTGACGATCACGACAACTTGGTGGAGCAGCAGCTTTCTTCGATTCCGGTAGCGTCAAACGGAAAGATTGTGGCGTTTGATTGGCATCAGGTCACCGATACTTATCGAAGGCATTTCAAGCTGATTGGGACACTGCAGAGTTACCTTCGGTTCTTGACGTTTATCATCAAACGGTTCACAGTTGTGGACAATTTGACAAGGTGATTATTTTGTCCCACGTTGAGCGCGGCGAAAAGAATTTGGAGTTCCGCCTCAGGTCCACTCGGGTGAATCGTTTGCCTGTTGACCTGGTTTTCGTAACTGAGACCAGGACCGGAGCCGGGGGCAAAGCAGCTGTTTTACAAGCGCTTTTGGGTGATCGGAACATCACACGGTCAGTGTTGCTTGACAACAATTTGCAAGTTTGTTCTGAGATTGAACGGGTTGGTGGCATTCCTTTGAACATCAGAACTCAGCGAAGGGAGCACTGGTCGGGTCGTGCAGCTTGGAACATCGGAGATCGTTTGCAGTTTGTCGAAGAGTGGCTAAGCCAGTGATCAGTTTCAGCAGCGCCATCATTTTCATTCGGGGCAGGCAGAGTTTTCTCAATTTCTTGATCTGTGGTTCGGCTGCAGGAGCGCCTCCACAAGGTTGGGAGTTGGCCAGGACTCCTTGTCAGTTTGGAAGTGATTTTAATTCGAAGGTTTCTCTCGATTTGCATTCGCCTAGTTTCATCCGATTTGCTTGAAGCATTTCACCAGCCGAATTTTTGACTTTCATGGTCTTTTCTCAACTCATTCGTTAGGCACATCAATTTGCTTTGTTTCGAAGTCCTTGGATCCTAATATCGGCACTTTGCTTGCGGATCTCAAGGTGTATTACCACGTCAGGTGCCGAACTTTCATTTGGATTGTGCCAGTTTTTAGTTTGAACGCATCCGATAAGTTCCAAAGAGACCATTTGTCCCGAACATCCGTCAGTCAATCACTTCATTTTCCGAGCTTGTCCCTAAGAGATTTGAGTTTGATTGTGTTGTGGTTGAATCAATCCAGATATCAGTGTACCAATTCTCAGCTAGGCTGCATCGCGCCTCTGAGAGTCGAGTGAAAAGGGCAATTGGTGTTGGGTGTTGATGTCTTCTGGCCCAACTGACCCAAGTTCGTCACTTCTGAATTTGTCTTCAGATTCCATGGAAGTTCCTGCGATGGTTGCTGGTAGAAGTTCATCAGCCTCCTCAACTGGGCATAGGGTGAGTAGCAAAACCCGAAGAGATAGTCAAGGTAAGCCTTTGGCCATCAAGGACGCACAAGGGAGAACTTTGGTTTCTATGAATCCATCCAAGAGGGGTTCCCGTGATGTGGAAATGGGTCCAACTCCAGAGGGTTCTCCAGGTCCTGCGGGTGTAGCTCAATCATCCACCACTCAAGTGTTGCATTTGCATGATGAAAGATTTCAAACAGTCATCTTGGAGTTAGTCCTCAAGAGTTTGGGGCAGTCTTAGCTCAAGCTCAACGTCTTTTGGATGAACCCCGCCCTCGCGCATTGCATCTTGAAGGTGTTGCCCAGGAAATCCATGATAGAGCTTGCGAGCAGATCCAAAAAATGAAGAGTATGGTTGAACCCCTTTACCAAGCATGCCAATCAAAGGACTTGACGATGCATGGTTTGAGCAATGACTTGGGTGCTCTTCAAGATGAAGTTGCTTTGGCCATAAGGATAGTGAAATTCAAAGGTTAATGACCGAGTTGAGTGTTGCGAAGCAGTCCCTGGCTTCTTCCCTTGAAGTGCGTGAGCAACTGCAGGCGAGTTTGGCTGCCTCTAGCGCCGCTCGCATTGGAGATAGAGTTCCAGTGCCTGTCCATCATTCAGTTCCGCCGGTCGATGTTGAAACACAGAGTACAAACAATGCCATTCTTGAAGCAATTCAATCTTTGTCAGCCAGATTAATTAGATGGTATGTCAAGCCGCCGTGTTGACGCTGTCCGCAAGGCCGTCAACCTGAGCCAGTTGATCTACATGGCCGAAATGGAGCGGGCGTCTCGTCTCTCCCCTCAAGTGGGTTGCCGATTCCCGGAAAATTTCCCAATGAGCCTTTTGGGGGTGATCCTGGTGATGATGGTGAGGGAGAAAATGGTGAAGAAGAATTGATTCAAGATGGTTCCCCAACAACTGAAAGGGAGATTGTTGATCCCAGGACGTTACAACATGCAAAGCTGGACCCGATCCCAAACACCGCTGCTGATTTCAGGAATTGGAAGAGCACCCTGATTTTGTTGCTGGGCCAGTTGGATATCAGTGGTTCGGATTATTTGACGTCTTGGGTATCTCAAGCATTTAAGGTCAACACTGCTGAGTTGTGCGCTAGTTCTTCTGAACTTGTGCCACGCCTGGATCGTTGGCTGGCTTCTGAACTCACCAAGGGGTTGACAGGGGTTCCTGGCTTGCAATTCAAGGTGCAGGGTTACATTGAGCGTTGTACACGTGATGGGACCGCTCCACGCGGTCGTGCAGTGCTTCACATGGTCTCTCGTCACTTTGACTTGGATCGCGACCGTGGGTCGCTGATTACGTCTCAATCCATCTTTCAAGTAGAATTGCATGGCTACTCAACTTCGGACTTACAAGATTTTTCTGCACAGGTCATGAAGGTTCTCAACAGCATTCCTCATGATCAGTGGCCGAATCAAAGAATGCTTGGTGAGTTCTTGTTTCACAAGTTGAGAACAGTCAGAGGCCTTGAGAGAGTGATTGATGAGATCAAACGGTCAGCAGATGACTCACCACTGGGACTTTGATTTCTTGTGGTCTAGATTGCAAGAATTCCTGGTTGAGGAAAGGGAGGATGCCAATGCAAAGTCCATAGAACAACCCCTCAAAAGCCCAAAGAGATCAGCAAATGTCCCAAAAGCAGAAACCCCGGCCGTACCGGCCAAAGCTGCTTCAGCTGCTCCAACCAATGCAAGTGCAGCCGCAGCTCCTCCATCAAAAGCTGTGCCAAAGAAAGCTGATGCGAAGTCACCTCCGAAGGGAAAATCAAAAGGACACGGAAAACCATTGAGTGCGGAAGACAAGGCCAAGACGCCATGTATCTTCCATCAGATGCCATCAGGTTGTGTGCATGGTGCTAAATGTGCCTGCAGTCATTCGAAAGCTCCACCTCCGAAGCCAAAAAGTGAGGGTAGCGCAGATCCAAAACCAAAGCCAAAGACTGCGCCGGCTGCAGCTGCCAAGACCTTGGCGACTGTTGCCATCCTTGCTGCAACAATGCTTCAGCCATCCCAAGGCTGGACAGGTTGAATGGGCTGCGGATTCAGGTGCTGGAAGACATTTGACTTCCTTTGAGGCTCTGAGCGACCAAGGTTATGACCGTTCTTTCTTTGATGGTTTTTCCCATCAGTCTCATGAAACTCTTCGATTCTCGACAGGTAGTGGCCAGAAAGATACATCCTTGTCCATTGGTTTTCAAGATCGCAATGGCTTATTTGGGAAAGCCAATCACTTTATCCTGGACTCATGTCCCATGGTGCGGTCGATTGGACTTGATGTCGAGCAAGATGGACTTGGCTTCATTTGGCTTCCTGGTTGTAAACCATACTGCGTGCGTAACCCTGCCGAGTGTCATGTTAGCTGTAGTGAAGATAACAAGTTCTATGCATCAAGAGTTTCTCAAAATGCGCTCTTATTTCAATCCAATTTTGAAGTGATACCTGGAGTTCCGGCCGCCGTTGAACATCCGGCCGGCGACTTCCATGTTGAGACGCCTCCTGAACTTCTTGACGAGCCAGTAGTTCCTGATCCGTCAGTTGAGTCTGCTGTTGAGCCTGGAGATTTAGGAGAACGCTCTTCCAGAGCTGCTGAAGTTAGGGAAGTCGCTCCCAGAGGAACCTCTTCTGATGCTTTCTGATGCGGTTGTTCGTGCAAGAGCCGAAGCTGTTTCAATTGAACATCGGATCAATCATTTCCCAAAGCATCCCTTGTGCAACATTTGCAATCGTGCCAAACTCTTTTCAAAGAGGATTCGCAGTCATCGTGTTCCCGACCCAGGGTCAGACTTGCCAGGGAGTTCAAGGTTTGGTGAACAGGTCGCAGTTGATCACATGGTTATTTCAAAGTCTTCAGGAGGGAAGGAGTTTCTTGTTTTGATTGTGTACGGCTCATCTAGTGGGATTGTCAACGCATATCTAGCATCATCAAAAGGTTCTGATTTTGTGTACTCTTGTCTCCGTCATTCTGTTGGCCTGAGATTCAAAAACCCAGACACTGTTTGCCGAAGTGACGCTGCTCCAGAGCTTGTGAAGGCGATCCATGATTTGGGATGGTTGCCGGAAACGGCATTGCCTCGAAGATGGCCGCATAATTCAAAGTGCGAGCGTATGATCAGAACATTTGAGGAATGTTGCAGATGTTTACACCTTCAAGCTGGCTTTGCGGTTTTGCCCAAGGTGTGGCCGATCACTTTCAGGTATGCGGCAGTTGCAATCAGCATTGACAAGTGGGAGAAAGCCTTTGGAACTGAATGCAAGGGTCCAAGCTATGCACTGGGTCAATTGTTGTTTTATCGAACCATCGAACCAAATCTCAATACAAACCAAAGCTGGATCCGAATGCATCACCAGCACTCATGGCTGGGTGGAAGTTGGAATTTGGACTCAGGTACAAAGGTGTTTTGACTCTTCTGGACTATCAAGCGTTGCGTGAGGGGAAGATTGTGTGCGTTCAAGCTCCTGACAGGGAAGTGTACACACGTGACAGGGTGACTTTTCCATTGTCTGATGTTGCGGAGAAAGCACTTGAGAATTTTGCTGATCCCTCAACTGATGGTTTGGAACATCAAGATCCTTTGCCCAATTCCTTTCATTGAAGACACGCCTGAAGTCAGAAAGAAAACCAAACGAGTTTACATCACCGTTGGCCGCATTCAGCGGTTGGGTCCTACACCAGGTTGTCGTGCCTGTTTAGCATTTACTCCGAATCACACTCCTGAGTGCGTAGCTAGACATGAAGAAGCTCATGGTCATGCTTCGCCTGTGCCTACACCTCGTGCACAGGGTGAGTTGGAAGAACTGCAAGATGAGGTTTTTCCACCTGGTTTGGATATTGAACATGAACCTTCCATTGCATCTCATGATCCATCCAGAAGATGTTCCAGAAGAGGATGAAGATCCCATTCATGGGGTTACTTCAGGTGCGGCAGTTACTGCAAGCATCGCGCGCGATGCAGCTACAGTGTTGCCTCAAGATCATGTTCAAGAGTTGTTTCAGGATTCTTTTGATCAGGGGGGTCAGATCGGTTGCCTTGGTGCCACGTCGACTCCAGAAAAGAGGATTCCAAAACATGGCAAAGGTAAACACAATCATGTTGGCAAAGATATTTTGTTCGAATTTGCGTGTGCCAAAGACTCTAACCTTGGTGAAGTTGGACATAAGAATGGTGTGAGAGTTATCCGGCTGTGCAAGGAAGACATCAACTTGGAAGATCCTCACAGTATCGAGCAGCTCATTGCTCAGGTTGGCGCTCCGAAAGGATGCTCTATCCACGGGTCCATCGGATGCAGGCCATGGAGTCAATGGCAACACTTAAACCGGACGAAGTATCCCAAGCTGGCGGCAAGGATCAATCAAGAACAAGCGGAAAGCGCTGCATTGGTGGAACAATTTATCCGGGTAGCTGACATCTATGGTGGAGATTGCGGTTTCGAATGGCGGCGTTATTGCAATGGTTGGGCATTACCATCGATTCAATCGTGGATTCTTGAGCGGAACTTGCATTCTGCGACTTTCAATGGATGTACTGTCGGAGTTGAAGCCGATGGCCAGCCAGCAAAGAAGCCTTGGAGGTTCATCACATCTTCATTGCGCTTGGCCGACAATCTTGCAGCCTTAAAGTGTACTCACAGTAAACATGCACCACTTCAAGGTAAATGGGCTAGGATGTCAGCATTTTACTCAGAACCACTGTGCAATTTGATGATCAACTCTTTGTTTCCTCATGTTGCCAACCAACACGTTTTCAGCATGCCGTGTAATGCTTGCTCACGACAATCGCATCGTCAGAAGCTTGTGAAGGGTCATCCTTCAGTGCCTTTGGATGTGTTAATGGCTGAAACTGGTTGTCATGAAATTAGAACTCCTGCGTTTGTGCAGGAAAGAAACTGGACCGCAATGAGTGGAAGGGCCATCCAGAAGCTCTCAAAGCCATTGAAAATGAGAAACAGGGTCTTCTTGCCAACGGGACATGGGATGAATCCAGCATTCGTCCAAAGTCTGAGATTTTAGCTATGGCTCCATCAACTGGCAATAAGATTCACATCTCTCATGGTTATTGTGAGTATCAAAAGTTTTGAAAAGCCATCCAGCGATTGGATTGTCAAAGCTCGGATTGTGTTTCGAGGGGACGCGGTCAAGGATGAGGAGGATCAAACAGCAGTATTTGATGACATTGCAGCCTCAGCTCCCACCAGCCTTGGTGGACTCAACTTGATTGTGGCTTATGGACTCCTTGATGGCAATGAACCTCCCACCAGCGATTGCATCAAAGCAAATGTTCAGTCTCTTTTGAGTTCATCCCAACCTACTTATGTACTTTTACCCATCGAGTTGGTTCCAGATCATGCTAAGCATATCCATCAGCCTTGCGCCCCACTCATCAAGTTATTGTACGGTCATCCTTTGGCCAGTGCGTCTTGGCAGAACCATCTCTCGAAAATCCTTGCCCAGGAATTAGGGGGGTTTGAATTTGAACAGCTACCATCATGCTTTTATTTTCCAAGTCTTCGTTTGGCATTGTCGGTTTATGTGGACGCCTTGACATTGTCTGGTCCCAATGCCAATCACTCCAAATTTTGGGAAGTCTTGAGAAAAGTTGTGCAACTTGAAGATCCAGCGCCACTTTCAAAGGTGTTGGGGAGAGGTCACATCAAGCATGATGGAGGTTTAGCTCTTCACCCCACTGATTTTGCAAGGCAGTGTGTCAAACTTTTCGAAGAACTTTCAGGGAAACGTGTCAAACATGTTCGCACTCCTCATGTGGATTGGGGTAATCTTTTGGCTACTGATCAGGCTGACGGAGGGCAGTTATCCAACGTCGCCGCCAAGCTTGTGATGAAGTTTATGTGGCTTGGTCGAATCAGCAGACCAGACCTTATGGTAGCGATCAATGTTTGTGCAGGTCACATCACCGCATGGACCGTCAATGATGACAAGCGTATGACCAGGCTTGCTGGCTATGTTGCCGCAACTCTGGACCACTGTCATATCATGCGTGTTCTTGACAAGCCGTCTGACCTGTGATTGTCAGTATACGCTGATGCCGATTTTGGCAGTGCACCCGATATGAGATCAACCTCTGGGTACCTGCTTGCACTTGAAGGTCCACGATCTTTCGCATTAATTCTATGGTGTAGCAAGCGGCAGCGTGCAGTTTCGAGATCAACCACCGAAGCTGAATTCGTTTCATTGTTTACATCTTTATTTACTGAAGCAGCGCCGTTGCTTGAGATTTGCCAGCAGCTCATCACACCTGAGATTGTGCTGAATTGCTACGAGGACAATCAGGCTGTTCTCGCCATCATTGCCCGAGGGTTCTCACCCAAGTTAAGGCATTTGAGCCCGTTTCATAAAATCAACGTTGCTTCAACCTGTGAGGCTTTCAACGGGCCTGACATCAATGCAGAATACATTGAGACGCTTAAGCAGCGAGCCGATGTACTCACAAAGTCCCTGTAAGTGTGTCTGCGTGGGATTCTGCACTCAAGCTTCTTCACATAGTGCCGCTCAAGACCTGAAGCTTTGTTTCCTAAGTGAGTTTTGCATTCCGTATGCATTTCAGGAATTCCGTTTTCTCTTTTACGACCGAAGGCATCAAAAACCTGACGTTGTGTTACGTTCGAACGTGCATCATGTTTAGTGGATGCGACTAAGCCCCATCTGCTTTATTCTCATAGATTTTCTCGGATTTTGTGTAGTCACTTCCTTGAATTTCGCCCGGCCCGGACAGTAGCTGTCTTCCAGCCTTATGCCCGTGAATTTTAGGCTGCGTCAGCGCCACATTCACGTGTACCGCTCAATTAATGGCTGCTTTGCGCCTCCTCTCAAGCATCCGTTAATTAATGCATCCGCACAGTAGTGCATGAAATCGCCAGGCATGTCGAGATCACCGAATTGATTTCTGCCATCTCTTGCCTGGAATCTATCTGTAGGAGCTATGAGATTTGCATTCGTCCGTAGGCCTGATCAACCCACGAGTAGGATCCATTTGTCAGTGTTAGCAGTAACAACCCTGTACAGTGCGTCGTCAGGGGGGACTTGAAGAATATGGTGTAAATCATAACCATATTCTTCACTGTAAAGCCTCCCTCTGAACATGGTTGTTATTACCTATTTGGCTCAAGATGAAAACAGTCCGCAGCCGCTGCCCTTCGGTCACGTGCGGTTGTGTCTTACTGGTTTTCTTGAACCCCCTGCTAGTAATTCGGTTGTCCTCGTGCGATTTATCTATTACAGCTCACCAAGAATTCCTATAAGCAAACTGGTTCCTATAGTAATGTCCTATTTTTGAAACTTCCGCCCCGGCGCGTGCCGGGCACTAACTGGTATATATATATATATGACTATATATGTGCGTATGTATATACAACGGGTCAAAAATTGCTCTGCATGCAACAGAGAAAATCACAGATCCAGCGTACACATGCATACGCTCAGCCGGGTCGTGACTGATCACATAGCTGGCCTTCCCATACCCCTTAGGTTCAGCTTGAGTGCAACATTGTGGAACCTTTCCCGCTCTGGAAATCTGAAACCCGGCCTTGATTGGCTCGCTCTTTCCCACGTCCCAAAGCCGGGCCATCGATGTCATTGCCAAATCATCCACAAACTCCTGATACCGGTCGCAGAAGGTCACAGAAGGTCACTGAGGTCGCCGAAGCAAAGAGTCACGCATAGTCAAAGCATAGGAATCCCAGTATGTATCATTGCATATCAGTGCAGTATGCACCATATGCACCATATCTATCCATATCTCTTGTGGCATCGTGCGCCATTCTGACGATCTAGTCCTTGAAGCAAAGCTTTCTGCGGCCGGTGTGAAGAACTATGAGTCGATAGATGTCGACAGTATAGTACTTACATGTAGTTACTGTCGTGCTCACTGTCTCAGGTCCGTCTCAGGTGTTTCTTGTTTTTCTTGTCTTTCTTGCCTTTCCTGGCCTGAGCCCATGGGGCCGATGCAATGTCTCTCCTCCTTGGACAATGGTTTGGTCGGGTCTGTCGCCTCCTCAAACTTGGCAATGCCTTGCTTGGCCTAAGAAGCATTGGGAAGCATATCGTGCGAATTCGTTCCGGAGTCGTGCCGTACCTTCGATGTGCGCAACACATGCTACGACATGCAGCATTGCATGCTTGTTTATCAGGTTTTGTCTTGTGCGGTCTTGTGATGCCACCTTCTTCCTTGGACTCGGACCTGCCTTCTGGCTAAACCATGAGGACATTTCTGCAGCAACCTCCTCGATCGCCTGGAACACAGGGCTCGCAAACACAAGAGACGCAAAAGCATCATTGGTTCCAAAATGTTCCAAGATGTTCCAAGTGCCAAAAACAATCAACCACTTGCGACGTGCGACTGCATGGAATGTTGTTCGTAAACCTACCTGAGAACTGCATTCAAGTCTGCAATGCATTGCAATGCTGCAAAATCCACACGCATCCATCTTTGGTCAATTAACAGATCAGTGATGATCTTTAAGCATCTTTCAGCCATCCGTTGGCTCCATCCATGGCTGAATGGCTACATTTTTGTCATTGACGTTATTCGTATGAAGATCCCGATGCCACAGTGCTGGGCCTGGCGAGGTTTCAAGCCACCGTGGATGATGCGGAAGGCCACTCTCCCAAAGAACTCTCCCCCACCAAGCGCTTCAGGATTTCGGTGCGTGAACATCATCGTGCCTAAGAACAGGTACACCAGGTAGGCCAGTTTGGCTTTTGCTGAGAAATTGCAAGAACATATGGATTGAAAGTGAATGAAAACGGAGGAGGTTCTTCCATCATGCAATTACACTCAAGGCAGATCAAGCTGTTTGTTTTGGGAAGTTTCAGATTGGCCAGTCTGACTTTAAATCGATCCCGTGTAGAAAAAAACAAGATGCAGCCCACGAACCCGAATGCTCACACGTATGTTAATGGTACAGATGTCGAAACACATGGATATGCAGTCACGCAGAACACTTTCCTGCAATAGTTTATTTGAACAGTCTTGTACATATTTCCCTTGTTACCAGTCTGCAGTGTGGAGTGGAAAGTGTAGAATGTGGGGTGTGGAGTGGAAAGTGTAGAGTGTGGGGTGTAAAGTGTGGAGTGTAAAGTGTGAAGTGTAGAGTGTGGAGTGTGGAATGTAGAGTAAGGAGTGTGGAGTGGGGAGTGTAAAGTGTGGAGTGAGGAGTGAGGAGTGTACAGTGTAAAGTGTTAAGTGTGGAGTGTAGAGTGTAGAGTGTAAAGTTTGGAGTGTAGAGTGTAGAGTGTAGAGTGTGGAGAGTGGAGTGTAAGTGTGGAGTGAGGAGTGTAAAGTGTAGAGTGTGCAGTGTGGAGTGGAAAGTGTAGAGTGTCGAGTGTGGAGTGGGAAGTGTAGAGTGTGGAGTGTGGAGTGTAAAGTAAGGAGTGTGCAGTGTCAAGTGTGGAGTGGGGAGTGCAGAGCGTGTAAAGTGTAGAGTGTGGAGTGTGGAGTGTAAAGTATGGAGTGTAGAGTGTGGAGTGTGGAGAGTAGAGTAAGGAGTGTGGAGTGAGAAGTGTAAAGTGTGGTGTGAGGAGTGTACAGTGTAAACTGTTAAGTGTGGAGTGTAGAGTGTAGAGTGTAAACTGTGGAGTGTAAAGTGTAGAGTTTAAAGTGCAGAGTGCAGAGTGTAAAGTGATGTAAAGAGGAGAGTGTGGAGTGTGGAGTGCAAAGTGTGGAGTGGGGAGTGTAAAATGTAAAGTGTGGAGTGTGGAGTGAAAAATGTAAAGTGTAGAGTGTGGAGTGGAAAGTGTGGAGTGTGGAGTGTGAAGTGTAAAGTAAGGGGTGTGGAGTGTAAAGTGTGGAGTGGGGAGTGTAGAGTGTGTAACGTGTGGAGTGAGGAGTGTGGAGTGTAGAGTGTGGGAATGTAGAGTGTAAAGTGTAGTGTGGAGTGTAAAGTGTAGAGTGTGGAGTGTAGAGTGTGGAGTGTAGAGTGTGGAGCGTAAAGTGTAGAGTGTGGAGTGTGGAGTGAGCAGTGTAAAGTATAAAGTGTAAAGTGTGGAGTTTAAAATGTAAAGTTTGGAGTGTAGAGTGTAAAGTGTAGAGTGGAAAGTGTAGAGTGTGGAGTGTGGAGTGTGGAAAGTGGACTGTAAAGTGTGGAGTGAGGAGTGTAAAGTGTAGAGCGTGGAGTGTGGAGTGTAAAGTGTAGAGTGAAGAGTGTAAAGTTGGAATGTCACAAAGTGCCACGCCTGCCACCCAAAACGAGATGACAACCTGCTTGGAAACCTTCGAAAAGGAGATGTTTTGCAGCTTCCCACATAGAAACGGCGACGTGTCTAGAAAACCAGAGACTCTTTCGGCACGTTATCAAACAGCTTGGAATGTCACAAAGTGCCACGCCTGCTACGCAAAACGACATGACAACCTGCTTGGAAAGCTTCAAAAAAGAGAGGTTTTGCAGCTTCCCCCATAGGCACGGCGACGCCACAGGAAAACCAGAGACTCGAGACAAGACACATGGATGCAGAAAAACGAGCATTTCGTGCGAGACTTCCTCCAATTTTGACATTTTCGACACGTTATCAAACAGCTTGGAATGTCACAAAGTGCCACGCCTGCCACGCAAAACGACATGACAACCTGCTTGGAAATCTTCGAAAAAGAGACGTTTTGCAGCTTCCCCCATAGACACGGCGACGCCACAGGAAAACCAGGGACTCGAGACAAGACACGTAGGAACATCAAAACCAGCATTTCGTGCGAGACTTCCTCCAATTTTCACAGTCTGAAACATACCGAAAGGACATGTTTTGCAGCTTCCCCCATAGACGCGGCGAGGCCACCGGAAAACCAGAAGCTCGAGATGAGACACGTGGGGGCATCAGCACGAGCATTTCCTGCGAGATGTCCTCCACTTTTGACACTTTGTAGCATCAAAATCGACGTTTTCCTACGAGTTTTCTCAGGAACCTGAAAATTTGCAACCTCAAAATCGATGTTTCGTGCGAGGCTTCCGTCAATTTTCATCACATCTCACAAAATGCCACGCCTAGCACGGAATTTGCACCTTGTCGCCACTTGACTCAGCCCTGACAATGCGATTCGCAAAAAACACGCAACGCGACACGTCTAAAGTGCTGCGCCTGCCACGCAAAATGACGATGGACACGTCCAAAGTGGCGCGCCTGCCACGAAAACTGCATCTCATCTTACGCAAACGTCGCAAAAGTATTGCGCCTGCCACACAAAAAGACTTTCGGTACGTTACAAAACACGTCTGAATGTCACGAAGTGCAACGCCTGCCATGCGAAACGAAGCAACGCGACGTTTGAAACGTCCAAAAACGACCCCTTTTGCAGAACTTACCATAGGCACGGCCATATAGCAATCGCGCGAACGGTTGCGGACGGTTGCGGGCGGTTGCGGACGGTTGGGCAACGTCGAGCGAACACACCCTCAACCCCCAGACCCCCACAGTGAAACGGGAACCCTTGCTACGCATTCGGGAATGAAGAATCAAGGTCCACTTTGACGTTCTACCCCCTTAATAATAAACACTAGTTAATCCCGGGACGTTTTTTAATGTTTTGTTTTTTAAATCAAGGTCCGTTTTTTAAAATCGAAAATGTTATTTGTTTTCTATTTCAGATTGTTAGGAAAACTTCGAAATTCGAATTTGACAATTTTCTACTTGTATAGATTTTAAAAAGGAATTTGATCGGTTGTGAAATCAAAAAATAGTTGTTCTTAATTAAGTTTTTTGTTTAATTTCGAAATCCAATTTTTGAAAGTATTTTAATTATATAGATCTAAAAAAGGATTTTGATCGATTTTGACATCGATCATTTCAGTTTTCCCAATCAAGGTTTTAAACTTTATATTATATTGGGGGAAAGGATTATATAATCAATCAATACCGGTATCATATCTAATTCATTGTATGTCATAGCAGGTGTCATTGTTGAATTTGATGATACTTTCTCTTTGTATGCGTTTATGGCGAATCGCGCGCTGCTTTCACGACATCTTCCTCCTTATTGAAGACGGCATAGGCTGCAGCATGGCGCAAAGACATAGCCTGGGCAAGAAATATTGATTCGCATGCAGTACAACGTACTCTAAGTCTCGGCAAACATGTCAATTAACAAAGTACATAGAGAATTATGAAGAGGCAAGGTTAAGCAAATTTATATGCAGTAATTATCAAACGTAATCTTCCGCAAAGCACTTTCCAAGAACAAGATGCAGCCCACGAACCTGAATGCAGTCACGTAGAACACTATTGTGAAACAAGTTTTTTGAACACTCTACATTCTTCTCCTGTTACCGTACCAGGGCACTGTAGACTGTGGAATGCGGAAGAGGGTGGAGTGTAAAGTGTAGAGTGTAGGGTGTTGGAGTGTAAAGTGTAGAGTGTAAAGTGTGGAGTGAGGAGTGTAAAGTGTGGAGTGAGGAGTGTACAGTGCAAAGTGTTAAGTGTGGAGTGCAGAGTGTAGAGTGTAAAGTGTACAACCCCCATGTACAGCTCGCTAGATGCTTTGCGGCCGACTTTATAGAGAATAGCCTGGTATAAACTGGAATGGCCACATGTTTGGAGTCTATAAAGTGGAAAGCCACCATGTTTTGTCTATAAAGTCAAAATCCAACGTTTGTATAAAGTCGCCTGGCCGCGTAAAAACATAAAACCCGATGTAGGTTTTTGAGGGTACTTGTGAACATGTCCCATGACTATAAAGTGAGATGCCGAACATCCAGATAGTAATACTTGTGTCGAACAGTGGCACTATAATGTGGATTTCCTACTAAACAACGATCGTTGTAGTAGCGATGATTTTCTTAATTGCGACGATGGAAGCATCGACATGATTGTCTATAAAGTTGAGGGGCCACGTTCAAACTTTGGGGGAATATCATCGATCTCATCGATGGGGAACCCAAAAGACTTCGAATGACTTCGAAACCGAACGAAACCGACAGCCAGACAAATATCTATATCGAAGTCGTTAATAGAATCTATGGTAAAACAAAATCTATGTTGGACTGGCCACTTTATACCCCCTCCCCCAACAGAGAATGCCTCTATAAAGTGGCCAGTCCAGGTAAAACCCCTGAAAAAACATAATCTATGTTGGACTGGCCACTTTATACCCCCTCCCCCAACAGAGAATGCCTCTAACACACTTTCCTTTGAAAGGGGTCCTTGGGGTGAAAGGGGTCCTGGTCGCGCCGCGCGCGCGCCCAGGACCCCATTCACCCTGAGGACCCCTTTCAAGGGAAATCTTCTTCTCTATAAAGTGGCCAGTCCAGGTAAAACCCCTGAAAAAACAGAATCTATGTTGGACTGGCCACTTTATACCCCCTCCCCAAACAAAGAATGCCTCTATAAAGTGGCCAGTCCAGGTAAAACCCCTGAAAAAACAGAATCTATGTTGGACTGGCCACTTTATACCCCCTCCCCCAACAGAGAAGTTTCACTCTATAAAGTGCTTTGCCATGTATACAGCCCCAACAGAAAAATATTGGCCCGAAATAATTGGGGAGACATGTTTCTATAAAGTGGATGGTGTGACATATTATGGCCATTCTTTGAAGGGAACCAACGGTCTATAAAATGCATTGCCGCATATATTGGGTCGTTTCCTTGTGGGGAACCAGCCGGGTATAAACTGGAAAGCCAACGTTCTAATAAAGTCATCTTCCAGGTCCAAGGGCATGTTTCTCGCGCAAAACACGGCTTTATCCCCCATTGTCGGTATATAAAGTGGCGACCGGAAACCCACTTTATAAGCGCAAAGGATGTCCACTTTATAGTGAGCTATACATGGGGGTTAAGTGTACAGTGCAAAGTGTAGAGTGTAATGTGTAGAGTGTGGAGTGTAGACTGTGGAGTGTGGAGTGTCAAGTGCAGAGTGTAAAGTGTAGAGTGTGGAGTGTAGAGTGTGGAGTGTGGAGTGTAAAGTGTAGTGTGTGGAGTGTAAAGTGTGGAGTGTGGAGTGTTAGGTGTGGAGTGTGGAGTGTGTAAAGTGTGGAGTGTGGAGTGTAGAGTCTGGAGTGTGTGAGGAGTGTACAGTGTAAAGTGTAAAGTGTGGAGTGTAGAGTGTAAAGTGTAGAGCGTAAAGTGTAGAGTGTGGAGCGTAGAGTGTGGAGTGTGGAGTGTATTGGAGTGTAGAGTGTGGACTGAGGAGTGTAAACTGTAAAGTGTGGAGTGTAAAGTGCAAAGTGTAGAGTGTAAAGTGTGGTGTGTATCGTGTAGAGTGTGGAGTGTAAAGTGTAGTGTGGAGTGTAGGGTGTAGAGTGTGGAGTGTAAAGTAAGGAGTGTGGAGTGTGAAGTGTGGAGTGTGAAGTGAGGAGTGTGGAGTCTGTAAAGTGCAGAGTGTGGTGGAGTGTGGGGTGTGGAGTGTGGAGTGTAGAGTGTGGAGTTTGGGTGTAAGGTCAAGAGTGTGGATTGTAAAGTGTGGATTGTAAAGTGTGGAGTGTGGAGTGTACAGTGGGTAAAGTGTGGATGTGGAATGTGGAGTGTCGAGTGTGGACTGTAAACTGTGGAGTGTAGAGTGTGAAGTGTGGAGAGTAAAGTGTAGAGCGCATAAAGTGTAGAGTGTAAAGTGTGGAGTGTAGAGTGTGGAGTGCAAAGTGTAAAATAAAAAGTGTGGGGTGTAGAGTGTGGGGTGTAGAGTGTGGAGTGTAAAGTGTGGAGTGTTAAGTGTGGAGTGTAGAGTGTGGAGTGTAAAGTGAGGAGTGTAAAGTGTAAAGTGTGGAGTGTAGGGTGTAAAGTGTAGAGTGTGAAGTGTAGAGTCTAAAGTGTAGAGTGCGGAGTGTAAAGTGTAGAGTGTGGAGTGGACAGTGTAGAGTGTGGAGCGTGGAGTGTAAAGTAAGGAGTGCTGAGTGTAAAGTGTAGAGTGTGGAGTATAAAGTGTGGAGAGTCAAGTGCGAGGTGTGGAGTGTAGACTGTAAAGTGTGGAGTGTACAGTGTAAGGTGGGGAGTGTCATGTCATGTGTAAAGTGTGATGTGTAGAGTGCGGAGTGTAAAGTGTAAAGTGTGGAGTGTAGAGTGCAGAGTGTAAAGTGTAGAGTGTAAAGTGCGGAGTTTACAGTGTAGAGTGTAGAGTGTGGAGTGTAAAGTGTGGAGTGTAAAGTGTGGAGTGGGGAGTGAGGAGTGTAAAGTATCAAGTGTGGAGTGTACAGTGTGGGGTGTGGAGTGTAGACTGTAAAGTGGAGAGTGTAAAGTGTAAAGTGGGGAGCGTCGTGTGTAGTGGAGTGTAGAGTGTGGAGTGGAACGTGTCGAGTGTGGAGTGTGGAGTGTAAAGTGTGGAGTCTAAAGTGTAAAGTGTGGAGTGCGGAGTGTAGAGTGTAGACTGTGGAGCGTGGAGTGTAAAGTGTGGAGTGTAAAGTGTAGAGTGTAAAGTGGGGAGTGGGGAGTGTGGAGTGTAGAGTGTGGAGTGTAGAGCACGCAATGCGACACGTCTGGAGTGCAGCGCCTGCCACGCAAAATGACGACAGAGATCTCCGAAATGCTGTGCCTGCCACGAAAACTGCAACCCATCTTGTGAAAACGACGCAAAAGTATTGCGCCTGCCACACAAAACGACTTTCGACACGTTATCAAACAGGTTGGAATGTCACAAAGTGCCGCGCCTGCCACGCAAAACGACATGACAACTTGCTTGGAAACCTTCGAAAAGGAGAGGTTTTGCAGCTTCCCCCATAGACGCGGCGAGGCCACAGGAAAACCAGAAGCTCGAGATGAGACACGTGGGAGCATCAAAACGAGCATTTCCTGCGAGACGTCATCCAATTTTGACACTTTGTAGCTTCAAAATCAACGTTTTCCTACGAGTTTTCCTTAGAACCTGAAAATTTGCAACCTCAAAATCGATGCTTCGTGCGAGGCTTCCGTCAATTTTCATCACGCCTCACAAAATGCCACGCCCACCACGGAATTTGCACCTTGTCGCCACTTGACTCAGCCCTGACAATGCGATTCGCAAAAAACACGCAACACGACACGTCTAAAGTGCAGCGCCTGCCACGCAAAATGATGATGGACACATCCAAAGTGGCGCGCCTGCCACGAAAACTGCATCTCATCTTACGCAAACGTCGCAAAAGTATTGCGCCTGCCACACAAAACGACTTTCGGTACGCTACAAAACACGTCTGAATGTCACGAAGCGCAACGCCTGCCATGCGAAACGAAGCAACGCGACGTTTGAAACGTCCAAAAACGACCCCTTTTGCAGAACTTACCATATACCATACGGATCCTCCTTCGAATTAGGGGGGAGGTGTCGCACCCGGCTTGTTGTAGTACAATTCCATGGGATTTTGAAAAACCCTACAAGAAGAGTCGGTTTTGGGGAGTTTTGGCCCTTACAAAAAGCATAGGGTTTTAGCACCCTCATTCGACTTCAAACACCCATACCATTTTAGAAGGTGACGATTTTCTTCATGATATGGAAGTTGTATATTTGTCGATGACCTTTTTATAAGAAGTTGTGATTTTAGATGGCGTTTTCGGGCATCATTTTGTAAGGACACAACTTCTGGTGCCCTGTTCTGGTTTTCCCGGACTCGTTGATTTTCAAGCAGCCTTTTTGTAAGGATTCCATTTTTTGCCACCTTTTGGTTTGTTTTATATTTTTTGTATTTTTGCTTCTTTGGCCTCATTGCCTACCAGAACTCCTTTCATGATGTCTCGCGTTTGTATTATCACATGAGTAACATTGGGATGTGGGCTGGGGCCTTTTCGGAAATAGCCAAAACAGCTATCAAATGATTGAGGCGAATCAAAAACATGTACAAATCTGAACAATACTTTGTATCAATGCCTAAAAAGCATATATTCTTGCAAAAAGGTTCTTCTACTCTTGACGACATCTCCTTACAAAATGTCATTGCACACCCTGCTGAGTTCTTTTTTGTTTTTCTTTTTTATGTTCAATAACAGCATCTTGAGCTTACAAAAAGCCTCAAAAAGACAAACTCGATGGTCTTATAAAATGACTTGGCACCTCAAAACTCTTACAAAATGAACACTTGAAAATCTACAACTTTGCCTTTTGGGTGCCCTGTTACAAAAAGGCCTGGTTAGGGGTCTTTTTGTAACTACAAAATGACCCTATATAAACCATTTGTAAGAGGGTCGACACCTTCCATTCTGTAAGGGAAATTCGATCGGGGATCCATACGGGGCTTGCGAATGGTTGCGGACGGTTGGGCAATGTCGAGCGAACACCCTCAACCCCCAGACCCCCAGAGTGAAACGGGAACCCTTGCTACGCATTCGGGAAAAATCACGAAAGATCCTCGCAACAGTATTCAATAGGTAGCCATTGTACTCGTGCATACGTGTGCTATGTTGCAATCCAGAAACGTTAGAGTTGCCTCCCAGCTTGTCGAAAGGCACATTCTGACTCACCTATCCGCGATAGGTGCGGTCGCTTCTCGTACAAAATGAAAAATATGGGCTGCTCTGGACAACGCGTGAATCACATTGAACATATAGAAATGTATTGAACGATAACTTAACGGTACTTAACATAACTTAACTTTTCTATAACTTCTCTGACATATTCGCGGATTTCCTTTACACGTGCCACACCGCATGATGCCTGCGCCAAAGTTTGCTTGGTTTGGGTGCACAGCCACGCTCCCCAGGACTTCGTCACGCGCTGCTGCCAGTATGGGATCAAGGCCTCCAACCTACCACGTGATCCACGTGAAGGTCTCATTGTCAACAAATTGGCACAGCACGCCGTGTCATATGGTTGTCGAATGTTGTCGATTCTTTTTCTTCGTCCTGCTTCTCCAAGCCTGATTGGAGATGAAGACTCGGAAGAACTTCTAGATGCCAGGAACTCCAGGCCTTGTGAAATCTTGTGAAGGAACTCACCATGCCAGCCACTGTTGCATCCGCTTCCGTCATGACACGTCAAAACACAAAAGAAAATCCTCTGAAGGCCTGGAGGCCCAGGCCGAGTAAGTTGTACTCGCCGTAGTCAGTCTGGTCTCCTACACAATCATACTATCCGTTACTATCCGCAACCAGCAAAGCATAGCATGGCCTAGCATGGCATAGCCTTAAGACGCCTGGAGTTTCCAATCAGCACGTGGTCACCGTTGCATCGTGTCCTGATTTTTGCCCAGGATGGTAGTTGCGCCTACCCCAGCCCACCCCATGTGTGGTGCCACCCATAGCTTCGCCAGGGCCCATGTAGCGCTGGATGGTCCCTCCATAAGCCTCCAACCGAGACAACAGCAGACAACGTTGAATTCATCTGCACCCGACCATCATGTGGGTTGTACATGCCGAAATTCAAGGAACCAGTATCCAAACGCCATCTCAACATATTTCAACACTGTGGAACACATGACTTCAAAGTCAAGAGGATTCAAGGGGTATGCACTTCAAGTTGATCCTGTTGATCCTGCCTTGACATTCTTTCCTTTAAATCGCGTCACTTTGCTGTTCATGAACTGGAATGACTTACTCTGTCAACACATGTGTGCAGGGAGCCTCCTTGATGACCTTGGCATCATATTCATAATGAGAACCTCAGAGCTCCAACATGCTCCAACCACCATATGCCACACTTCCAGCACATGATGACGGAAATGCAAAGGTAAGAAACTCTGAAAAGCGCCTGAGAAGCTTTATATACTGCATATGTGTAAACAGTTTATAAACAAGTACTAGTATGACCTCTGCAAGCCCCATCGTATACAGTGTCACCTCCAAAGCCACGCGAAGGTTTCCACAGGACATTGCCTCGTGTAAATTATTAAACCTTCGCCAAACAAGGCCAAAATAAATCTAAATTATGCCAAATGCATCCAAATAATCTAGAAACTAAATACTATATGCGTAGAAGCTGTCTACTAAGCCACCTTTCTCTGGCACAGACCAGGAAGCCAAGACATAGCGCGTCGGCCACCAAGGAACCAAAAAATGCACCTGCAATTCACGTGCAACTGATGTGTGGAAGAATCTGCCATGATTATCCGTGACGTCTCACTGATGCCTGAGCCATTCTGAGCCTCATGCTCCGCGCCTTCAATCCTGTCCTGCATGGAGATCTTTTCTCCTGATGCAAGAGCCTGACCCCCAGCGCCCTGAGGCTGTGCAAAGACATTTGCCTGATTTGCCTGAAGTTCTGAAAAGTTCTGAAATGAAATTCTCTGAAGATTGTGAAGCAATGTGAAGCAAGTAGCAAGTGCAAGCGTGAGTGAAGCAACGCCAATCATCGCGGAGAAGCCAGGCACATGTGGCACACTTTGTGGCGCTTGAGCCCAAGCTTTCCTTCAACAATCTTCGCATATGACCCGGAGGCCGCAGGCCGCTTCATTTTCCTTGCAAAATTAGGCCTATTGAATCCCAATTATTCATATTGTAGAATGCCTAAATGGGTACATGGTGGATTCTCCGGGGCATTCCTTCTGTGACCAAACATGGTAAACGACACAAACAGTGCAAGCAGCAACATAAGTTGAATCAGACTCCAAATGCCCAAAGCGCTCGTGCGCTCGATTTTCCCAGACGCTGTCAGTTAACAGCGACAACTGGTCATAACTGGTCCCTTTCGCCAGGTCAACCGAGGCCAACTATAATTCAACAGCCCTTTAGAGCAGCAGAGCTTTCATCGTGTGCGATGCAAACATCACCATTCCTGCAGCTCCGAGCAACTTAGAGCAACTTAGAGCAACTTAGTAGGTGTGATTGACGGTACGGTGTGATTTGGATTTGGATTGATTTGGATCTGGGGGATCCAAATGTCGCTCTGCCTGCTCTCGACTGCTCAGGTCCAGGCCATGCTATGAGTCTGGATCATCAACAGCAGCAGTTCGGCTGACGGCGGTTGAATGTAAAAAGATGTGAAAAGTGAACAAGGATGAACAAAGGACTCTACATGTTTCTACTTCAAAAGCGATGACCAAAAACTTTCAGAGGGCATGCTGTTTGAGGTGTTTTTGTGATGTTTTGTGCTTCACTCGGGGATGATCGGGTATGAGTAGCGAGGCAATGCGGCAACTTTCACCTGTCCCACGACCTGTCCTCTGTGTGGTTGCCGTCCAGACCTACCATGTTTTAGCGTTGCTCAACTTTGCTCAACATTGCTCAACAGCTTATCATTGCTTACAGAATCTTACAGATTCTTACAGCATATTGAGACCATTTTTGGCCTGACTCAAGAGATCGCAAAAGCCATTGTGAAATGACATAATAAATATATATAAATAATATAAATGAATCAAATGACGTCAAATGACCATGAAATCTCTGCAAAAAAAAATACGAAGCTGATTCAGACCAAGACCACATCGCGGCATGGCCTTGGCGTCTTTCGCCAGGAGTCTCCGGCCGAAACAGGGCCACGCTGTTTTGGAACCGAGGCTCTTTGCGCTCGTGGTCCTGGCGCGTGATTTTTTGCCAAAAGGAGCAAGCATTGTACCCCATTGTACCCTACATTTGTTATTTGTGACGCTTGTACCATCTTGATCCATCTTCTACCCTACATTGTCCCTACATTGGTAGCTGACTGCGACAGCTGCGAAATGCTGCGACAGCTCCCAAACGTGGCCAACAGCATGCGAAGCCACATGCAGACCTTAGCATTCCTCACATGTCTTTGCCAAACTTTTTTTGCCTTCGCATCTCAATACGTTCTTCAAATTTCCTCAACCTCTCCGAGGTTCCGTGCTACCTTTTTTGTCAGCTGAAAGCATGCGGTGCCCGAGACATGGCTGTTGATCAGAATGGTCGACGAATGGTCGACTGCAAAGCCTTCTGACCAGGCAGCGCTGCAGCTTTGGCTCTTCAAACGCTTTTCGCCTTGAAATCCTTGAAAGTCTGCAAGAAAAAGCCAGCAAGAGTTCCAGCAAGAAGCATGACAACCCCAATCCCAAATGCAGAGTTGCCCCCACGAATGCGGAGGAGCTCCAAACAAAGGACCGTCTGACTCCAGCAAACGGGGCTTTTCCGTTTTCGAGTTGATACGATCATGCCTAAGCCGGCTAGGATAAACCAACATCCCATTCTCAAGGATAGCTCTGCACCACCTTTGCCCAAAAATTTGATGATGTGCGACCATCGAGGAAGGAGAAGTGCACCTCCCAAAAATTCCAGCACTCCAACTATTTGAGATAGATCATGACGCAGGAAGCCTGCTGCTTTCAATGCACCAACGCCCGTCATGAAAATGCAGAGCCACCAGTGTAAGTAGGCTTGTCTCTTGCTCCAGGATGGAGGCCATGGTGGCAGCGTCGGGAATAACAAATCCGACATAGCACACGACGATCTTGGAAAAGCAGTCGTAGTCGTAGCACACGGATGCACACGGTCCTACACACGAGCCGGTACGGCCTGTGAGCCCAGCCACCGGGATCGCGACTCAACAAACCAGTGCAAGGTCAGTGACCGAGGTCCATATTGCAAGGTGGAAAGTTGGAAAATGTTGGAATCAAGAAGTCACAGTGTCAAAGGATATCAAAAGCGCTTTAAAAAATTGGTTTCCGTTGCTGGGAAAATCCACAAAGGCAAAGAGAGTGGTGACAGCAAGTCAGGAGAATGCCTGCAACGTGGTGCTTCCTGTCCCACAGTCCTGAGTGAATATCACAGAAAAGAAACTTCATACCGACAGCATCCTACAGCCTGGCAGCCAGCCTGCTGAAACAAATCTGTGTAGAAAGCAGACTGACGATTGCGGCATCGAGACAGAAATCATCAGAAATCGTTTTGCACTTTCCTTTAGGTCAATCTGAGGCCAGCAGGTTTTCCAAAAAATCCCAACGAAGGATTGGTGATGCAGTGATGATCAGATACCATTGAAGAGTGTGTGCGTTTGTGTGCGTTTGTGTGCGTTTGTGTGTGTGTGTGTCTGCCTGTCTGTAAGACTACAAGACTTCTGGCGTGGACACTGAGCTTTCTGCATCATCTTCTGCATCTTCAGGCACTTGGTGCAGGCAGTACCTGGCGCAAGCCGCAGGCATTCCATGACAGTCCCTGCTCAAGTTTGATGCCGAAACGCAAGCAACGCGGCGAGTCACGCTGCGAGAAGTCCAGCAAAAGTCACCCCGGCAACGGTGCTTGCAGCTGCAACTACCTGTGTAGCAAGCTGCCACTGTTCGTCAAGCCATGTCAAGCAACTCGAGACTCCCTCTCTTTCTCTTTCTCTCTCTCTCTCTTGATGTGCGCGTCCACCAACATCCATTAGCTGCACATAGCTGCACTAGCTCTGTCAAAACATTGTGACATCTATGTCAGAAGAATCTATGAAACTCTATTCAAGCCTGTCAAACTGTATGTCACTCTGGCCTTCATTGCTGCACCAGACCCGCTCCTTGTGAAATGATGGCTCTTCAAGATATTCAACTCAACAATGCTTGCTTTCCCTGTGCTTTCCCGAAATGTTGATTTCACTGCTTCCGGAAGTTTGAGATGATCTACGATAATTTCACAGAGTCTTGGCAAAATATGGAAAATGTTGCAATTCAGCAGAGTGGCACAAGGTCAGCAGAAGTAGGCGCAAGAGTCCCAGCATAGACATGAGCAGCTGTGGTTGGCAAAAGCCCCAACAGAGTGCCTGCAATGATCTGCCACAAACCGCATCAAACCACCACAAACTCGCGTCCAGATGCGTCCATCTCTATTTGCTGAGTCTGGCTGCTTACTTTTTCCTGCTTGGTTCTTATTCTTGCTTGCTCCCTGCTTACTCTATCTCTCCTAAGTGCTTAATTACTTCTTGTTTTTTCCTGCTGTTGTTCCGTCTGATCTGTTTCAGGCCTGGTACGAAGATAGTCCAGGGAATGTCCGTCAACAAAGACAACGCATAGTTCTTGACCACGCATGGAATTGGAGCTATCCTGCACTCAGTACTCAAGGAGAGTGATGCTGGCTATGGTGACTCGTCGCCAAAAAGCTGAACTAAGACGCACCGCAGTCCTTACAAGAAAGACTGATGCATGGCCACCTCGCTCAACACCTAAGCTGTTCACACATCGGGAGATGCGGAAGGCAGCAGCATCAAGGGCTGGACATGGCAGGCATCAAAAAGCGGAGAAGTCCCAATGTCAAAACCCTCTGAAAAACGACAGCAAGAAACTATAATAATAGACGACGGATGGCCCGAGAGCGTAGAGGAGCAGGGTCTTCTCTTGTTAGTATGGAGACACCATATTACAAAACAATATATATATATATATATATTAAAGATGTGTTATAGGCAGTCGAGAAGGAGGAGTATCAAGACAAAATAGCAGAAGTACAAGACAATAGTTTGCATCGCAAACACTTTTACACACAGAAGCTTTTACACACAGACGCTTTTACACACAAAAGCTTTTACACACAGAAACTTTTACACACAGAAGCTTTTACACACAAAAGCTTTCACACACACAGAACCTTTTACATACAGGCACTTTCACACACAGACCCTTTTACACACAGACGCTTGTACACACAAAAGCTTTTACACACAGAAGCTTTTACACACAGACGCTTTTACACAGACGCTTTTACACACAAAGCTTTGACCCACAGAAGCTTTTACATACAGAAGCTTTTACACACAGACGCTTTTACACAGACGCTTTTACACACAGACACTTTTACACACAAACCCTTTTACACAGACGCACTTTTACGCACAAACACTTTTACACACAAACATCTTTACACAGAAACACTGTTACACACAAACCCGTTTACACACAAACACTTTTACACACAGAAGCTTTTACACACAGACACTTTTACACACACACACGCAGACACACACACACACACCCTTTTGCACACAAACACTTTTACACACAGACCCTCTCACACACAGACAGAAACTTTTACACACAAACCCTTTTACACACAGACACTTTGACACAGAAACCCTTTGACACACAGAAGCTGCGACCCACGGACCCCATTTACATTTACACAGAAACACTTTTACACACAAACCCGTTTACACTCAAACACTTTTACACACAGAAGCTTTTACACACACACACACACAGACACACACACACACCCTTTTGCACACAAACACTTTTACACACAGACCCTCTTACACACAGACAGAAACTTTTGCACACAAACCCTTTTACGCACAGACACTTTGACACAGAAACCCTTTGACACACAGAAGCTGCGACACACGGACCCCATTTACACACAGACCCTCTTACACACAAACGCTGACACTCTTACACTCACACCCTTTTACATCCAACACCAGTTAAATCGCAATTTTACCTCGGTTTTTGCACATCGAGCCTCGTTTCGTGCGAAAGGGTTGCCCCGGCACTTGTAAAATCGCAATTTTTTTCAGTTTTTGACGATCGACCCTCATTTCGTGCGAAAGGGTTGCTCCAGCACAAGTACAATCGCAATTTTACCTCAGTTTTTGCGCATCGACCCTCATTTCGTGCGAAAGGGTTGCTCCGGGGCACGTAAAATCGCAATTTTTCCTCAGTTTTTGGCGATCGACCCTCATTTCGTGCGAAAGGGTTGCTCCGGCACTTGTAAAATCGCAATTTTTTTCAGTTTTTGACGATCGACCCTCATTTCGTGCGAAAGGGTTGCTCCAGCACAAGTACAATCGCAATTTTACCTCAGTTTTTGCGCATCGACCCTCATTTCGTGCGAAAGGGTTGCTCCGGGGCACGTAAAATCGCAATTTTTCCTCAGTTTTTGACGATCGACCCTCATTTCGTGCGAAAGGGTTGACGTTTCGTGACTCCTCGCCGGCACCACCCTCGGCCTAAAGAGAGAAAGATAAAGAAGGCGAGAGAGAGAAAAGGGAGAGAGAAAGGAGAGAGAGAAAGGAGAGAGGAAAGAGGAGAGAGAGAGAGAGAAGATGTGAGTATGTGAAGATGTGAGTGCGAGAGAGAGAAAGTGAAGATGTGAGTATGTGAAGATGTGAAGATGAGCAGATGTGAAGATGAGAAGATGTGAAGATGAGCAGATGTGAAGATGAGCAGATGTGAAGATGAGCAGATGTGAAGATGAGCAGATGTGAAGATGAGAAGATGTGAAGATGAGAAGATGTGAAGATGAGAAGATGTGAAGATGAGAAGATGTGAAGATGAGAAGATGTGAAGTGAGAAGATGGGAAGATGAGAAGATGTGAAGATGAGAAGATGTGAAGATGAGAAGATGTGAAGATGAGAAGGTGTGAAGATGAGAAGATGTGAAGATGAGAGGATGTGAAGATGAGAAGATGTGAAGATGAGAAGATGAGATACAGACCCCCACTATTGGAAGAACCCTGCGCTCAGACGCTCTCGGGAATATATATATAAATAATATATATATAAAATATGTGTATCTGTGTGTGTAGTATCATATAGCATCTTCAAAAGTGTGCCCCAATTAGCTGCAATCAAGTGCTGTCTAAAACTATCTTGGAGATAAACCACTCCTGAAAGAAGTGAAGTTAAATGAGATACGGATGATACGGTGAAGTGGGCTTGTTTGCACACCAATGTTAAGCTGACAACTTGCAGTCGTTCGGTGTGGTGAGCTCTGGTGGGGCTCAGTAGTTGAATGTGTAAGGGAGGGGTGATGAGGGGTGATGGATATGAATATCACACCTGGAATCTCAAATGCAATCTAATTTCAGTTGCGGTATATAAGTTGGTCAAAATAGTAGAACCAAGTAGTGGAACCAAGTGATTGAATTACCGACTGCTGGCGGTGTCATGGTTGTTGCTTTCTCATCATGAGATGGCATGCTTGGGGTTGCGTGCCTGCACTGGTTCCCAGGGTAGTCGTAAGTTTTCAGTCACTGTCGTTCCATTCGTATCCATCCGTTCGTATCTACTACCGTATCATTTACTTATAACACCTTGTAATTTTGGCCAGTTGCCCTGTTCAATTCTATGGAACTCTAGGATTATCTAGTTGCCATGTGTCAATGTCCATGTTGGTTCCAGTTTTCTCTCCTGCGTTTGTTTCTCGAGGTCAGCTGTGACCGCTTTGTTCCACAGTTGCCTCTTTACGCTCCTTACTTCTGTTCCTAGCGCAGTTTGACATGACCAGAAGGCCCATGTGTTCCTCAGGTGTTCATCTTTTTTGCCATCAAAAATCATGAGCATGTATGTAGGTGGACAGGATGTGGTGATTGTTGTTGAACTCGTAACTTGCATATTCACTGAAACCTTGGGCCAAGGCTTTTGGCTGCGTTCAATGCAGTAGGCCAAGACTGCATTCTTTCTCGCAGCGACCTGATGCATTACACCACACACTGTGCAACTGTGCATGTGCACAATCCTACTGCACAAATCTGCACGATGCATGGCTTCCGCTCCGCATTGGCAATGCCACATTGGCAATGCGTGGAAGGTTCAGCGTCACACTCTCGGACGTTTTGACAACCTTAAGCGATGAAAGAGGGGTGAAGTTGACCTTTGAATCAGCATCTGGAGGGCGCAAGAATTTGCAGAGAAAACACGGCATAAAATGAACTAAATAATTATAACTAAATCAATACCTGGCATCACTTGGCATCTGGGCACCTGGCATCCAACAGATCTTCCAACCCCAAACGCAGCCAGTGCTCCCAGCGCTTTGCCCGCAAAGGCTAACTCAAGTCCCTGTCAAGCCCGTCCAAAGTATGCACACTGAGATTGAAGAGCTTGACTATGATGACTTGACTATGGCGACTATGGCCTTCTGGAAGCCAAACAGGTATCCCTCACCTGACGAAGTGAAGGGCGGCGAATTGCAGTGCCAAACAGCACTCCAGAAACACTTCAGCATGGTGCCTAGTTCGAACAGGATGTGACCGGGCAAGGAGACGACAATGGAGGCTGCATGGAGAGGAACTAACCTTGACAAATCAAGAGTTCTGTCAGAACGCCATCAGTCAATCGCGATCAAGCCATGTCAAACGGTAAACTGTTTTCTTCCAGCCTCACAGTCTCACAGTATCTCGAACATTCAAAGAACATTCCCAATCTGTCAAACTTCGCACACCCAATCCAATGCCAAATGCCCAAGACACGCTGCTGCTGGAGTCGCTTTGATAACGTCCACTAGGCGGGTGTTCTCAAACAAGAACCTGAAGACAAGGGCGGCAACGGCAAGCAACGTCATTCGGAAGAGTCAGAATAGTCAGAACGCGGAAAACATTGGAAAACATGGAAGAATTGACAGCATGTGACAGCTATGTTGCATCGTGAGCACACGGCTCGAAAGGATCCAGCGAGAGGATCCCAGCGGTCCCAGCGTTAAGGTTCACGCGAGCTGCCATGTCTAGCACCAATCGGCTGGCCTTGCCACGCGTCATTGGCCTCGGCGTTGGCATCTCAGCTTATTTCCCACAAATCACCATCAAATCAACTGGTATCACCTGACATCATGCTCTCTTATGCATGCTTGTGCTCGATTACATATATCTCTCTCTCTCTGTCTTTTGCTCTCCAGTGTAGGGCTGTTGGCTGAGAGCCTCGCGCTGAGAGCTAAACCTGTTCCCAAATCATGACAGGTTCATCGACAATTTCACACAACTTCAAGTGCGCATCCTTTCAAATCCTTTCTCATGCCCTGTACGGTATCAACTCACTAAACAATGTCAGCAGTAAAACAACAAAGATAACAAAGACAACAAAGCCTAGACGTCTGGACCATCCAATGCCTACTCCAACCCCTCTGAAAATCAGCAAGCCTTGCGAAGCTTCTGTGTGGTGGTCAGGGCCCTGCAGGAACGCAGCAGCCTGACGAAAGTGAGATGCAACCCTTAGCAAGAAGTGTCCTCTGTCCTTCCCACGTCCCTGACCACTGTATATCCACTGTTCATTTCGTGCCAACCTCGCTCTCGACACATCACTGTCGTTTCGTCTCGCCACGTGATTCCACGTGATTGCTGCTAAGCAAGCCAGACTTTGGGTGGCAGCAGAAAAACGATGCAGTATAGTATGTGGTTTTATGTGGCAAAACATGGCAAAACCTGGTATAAGCATGTGTAAGCAATAAGGGGCAATAACCAACGGATTCCCAGTGCTGATGCTGCAATATACTGCAACAATATCAACAATATGCAATCATCTGGTTCAAACAGGCTTGGAGCTTGACGTGCCATACCAGATCAGACACACGGGAATGAGAACAAATACTTACAGATACTGCTGTCATGGCAAGAGTGGCAACTCAAAATGAAGTGCGATATTTGAAAAATCTACAAGAGCACAGCATGGACACAAGTTTAGTTTCCAACTTGAGTTTGGAGATATTGGCGCCAATAGTTGGTCGCCCAGCCAAACATGAAATACCAAGCTTTCAACTCACTCAAATGCTGATTTGAGAAGGGAGTGGACGAAAGCCAGCCTCCTGGCCTTTGTATCCTCTCTACCCACACCAGCCGAAGCAAGGACTCGTTTCCATCCAGGCGTAAACTCATATTCCTGACCCCTCCTTTTCTTTCCAGGCACAAAAACTTAGCGAAAAGCAAATGCTGAACGTTTGCCGAAAATTGAAAGCATGTTCAAGGTGCTTTTTCATCTGCTATTTTCAAGCCGCTCGCATTTACTCTATTGCGTGAATCTGTCATCACAAAGCATTGCACTTTCTGACGTCTACCGTCTACCACCTCTTCAAGTTTCCCAAACTACCTGGCAGTCCGGCTACTGATGAACCCCTAAGACTAGGTAAAGGTGGATAAAAAACACAGCTGGAAGCACCAAAACACCGCTAGTTACGATGTTTTTGCAGCTGCATAACAAAGCAAGAGCAAAAAGCACGTAAATCAAACGTTGTAAAAGAAAAAACACTGCAATTTACCGCGTGCACCTTACAAAACATTAGTCTTCACCCTTTTTTCCCACAATCTACCTTCAAACAACACCGGTTCATTAACTGTCTGGAAAGCATCAAAAATTTGAAAGAGCCTCCTCAGCGCCTGAAGGACGTCAAAACACCCATGAATTCTCAACTGAGCTACGGAGCTACGGGGTTACAGAGGTACGGCGCTACGGAGCTACCTGACATCTCCTACTGCAAAGGCATGCTGTGCATTGCTGTGCACTGCGCGCAACACATTCTTCTTTTCTTATCATTATCATTCCAAAAAATCTTGCACAATCTTGATGTATCTTCACCACGTCCTGACTCTTGATATTCTCGCCTTGGAGCTTGGTGTAAGTGGCCTGGGACTTGGCCAAAATCTTGGATCTGCCCAAAATTTGAAGCTTCCAGCACTCAAGTCATGAAACTGAGCTCGGAAGATGTGCAACGGCCGTCTCAGTCTTTTTGTTTTCACTGCTGCTTTGGAAAGCAGTTGGCCAGCGAAACTTTTTTGGCATAAGTTCTCAACGGAGCATGGAGCAAGTCACTCAACTGCCCAGGTCCTGCACCCCGAATATCCCAACTAGAGCCCAACGGGCCAAGCAACGAGAATTGATTGAAGCATACTGAAGCATGTTAATTGCTGAAGCTAGGAAACACGTTGCTATAGTGTTGGATCCTGATTAGTGTCATGGGACTCTGTTGTGAAACAATGCCCAAAAATTATTGAGTATTTTCAAATACTTTGAAAAGAACTCAATTGTGAGATTCTTTTTCTCAGATCCATTTTTTTCAGGAAGAAAAAAATGGTTCAAGAAAAACATATAATTAATTACACTTGTTTATTTGCATACCTATCGCTCCCAGCCCAAGCAGCACAACTGATCCTTTTTTCTTAACAGTGAATGCTTGCTGATTCGAAAAACACTGAGACTTATTCAATGGCTTATCAAACCCTTATTTAAAAAACGGGACCTAAATAATTTTTCAAGGGGGTACCCCATGAGTGACCCAGATCCTCAATAATGTAATTGCTTCGATGGCACACTATTGTGCACAACAATTTTTGAGGTGGAAAAAACAACAAAACCTTTTATCCACCTTTCTTTGGGTAAAGCTGGTCCATTTACTGTAGAAAACCATATCCATGTTAAAGCCTTGAAAATGCAAGGTTTCCCAAATAATTATAGTAGGCACAGATGACACGGGACTTCGCGGCCGATTTATCCCAGGATGGGATTTATGTATCAATTTTGCTATGGCTGCTATGGTTTCTAAGTACACATGACATGGGAGTTGTGCGCCGACCTAACGGGCAGGTATTCCCCACTCTTTTGACTGATGACGTGCGAATATTTGATCAAATTTATTCAAATTTGACATTAGGACTTCCAGGACAGCACAGACGTCCAAGATGGGAAGTGGCAGATAATGAGATGGGAAGACGAATTTACCACAGGAGGTGGGACGTCCAAGATGGGAAGTGGCAGGTAATGAGATGGGAAAACAAATTTACCATAGGAGATGGATGGGACGTCTAAGATGGGAAGTGGCAGGTAATGAGATGGGAAGACGAATTGACCACAGGAGATGGGACGTCCAAGATGGGAAGTGGCAGGTAATGAGATGGGAGCACGAGTTTACCACAGGAGATGGGACGTCCAAGATGGGAAGCGGCAGGTAATGAGATGGGGAGACGAATTTACCACAGGAGATGGGGCATCCAAGATGGGAAGTGGCAGGTAATGAGATGGGAAGGCGAATTTACCATAGGAGATGGGACGTCCAAGATGGGAAGTGGCAGGTAATGAGATGGGAAGACGAATTTGCCACATGACATGGGACTTCCAAGATGGGAAGTGGCAGGTAATGAGATGGGAAGACGAATTTACCACAGGAGATGGGACGTCTAAGATGGGAAGTGGCAGGTAATGAGATGGGAAGACGAATTTACCACATAAATGAATGAGATGGGAAGGCGAATTTACCACAGGAGATGGGACATCCAAGATGGGAAGTGGCAGGTAATGAGATGGGAAGACGAATTTACCGCAGGAGATGGGACTTCCAAGATGGGAAGTGGCAGGTAATGAGATGGGAAGACGAATTTACCACATGATATGGGACGTCCAAGATGGGAAGTGGCAGGTAATGAGATGGGAAGACGAATTTACCACAGGAGATGGGACGTCCAAAATGGGAAGTGACAGGTACTGAGATGGGAAGACTAATTTACCACATGACATGGGACTTCCAGGATGAAAAGTGGCAGGTAATGAGATGGGAAGACGAATTTACCACATGACATGGGGCTTCTAAGATGCCGTCCCCAGCTTCGAGCGGGACGACAAACAGCGGGACGACAAATTTCGCAGAATAGGGAAGAGACACAGAAGAATACGAAACAGGTGGGGAGAGAGTAAGGTGGAGAAATGTCTGGTGTGCGTTGTGTGTATGCACAGGTAGTTCATGCAACCCTATATACGAAGTTTAAGTCGTTTAAGTTTAAGTTTAAGTTCATGCAAAGTCTTACTAGCAATAGCCACATACATATATGATGCATATACACACATATACACTCATAGATAACTGCAGGCTAGCACTTAGAATATTGACGTATTCATCCTGGAGGATCCAGCGGGCTCCGTTCGAGGCCCGGGTGGAAATTTCCACAATATTCTATCTCCATTGCGCTTAGAATATCCGATAACGAAGATGTCAATAAAACATTACTTCTCGCTCAATAGCTGCTAAATAGCTGCTATACTAAATAGATCTAAATAGCTGCGCAATAGCTGCTAACTAGCTTTTAAATAGCTGCTAAATGCTAAAAACGAATACCGGACCCAAACGCGCCACCAATGTAAATACCGTGCAAAGTAGCTGCAATGGCTGCCAAGTAGCTGCTAAATAATTATTAAATAGCTGGTTGGTGGTTTGGAACATTTGTGATTTTCCATATATTGGGAATAATCATCCCAAATGACTAATATTTTTCAGAGGGGTTGAAACCACCAACCAGATAGCTGCTAAATAGCTACTAAATAGCTGCCAAATAGTTTCTAAATAGCTGCTAGATAGCTACCCAATAGCTAAAGAGCTGCTAAATAACAGCTAAATAGCTTCTAAGCTTCTAAATAGCCGCTAAATGCCTGCTCAATAGTTGCTAAATAGTTGCAAAATAGCTGCTAAATGGCTGCTAAATACTTGCTAAGTAGCTACTAAATAGCTGCCAACTCGTTACTAAATAGTTGCTAAATAGCTGCTCAATATCTGCTAAATAGCTGCTAAATAGCTGCTAAATAGCTACTCAATAGCTAAAGAGCCGCTCAATAGCTGCTAAATAGCTGCTAAGTAGCTGCTAAACAGCTGCTCAATAGTTGCTAAATATTTGCTAAATACCTGCTAAATAGTTGCAAAGTAGTTTCCAAATAGCTGCTGAAGAACTGATAAATAGCTTCCAAATAGCTGCTAAATATCTGCTAAATAGCTTCCAAATAGCTGCTAAATAGTTGCAAAATAGAACAAGGAGGTGGATGGATTCATGTGACTTTTGAATATTCTAACTGCTAATGTTTTCCGAATAAGCCAAGTTTTGTATTATTGGAATATTCTAACTGCTGACGTATAATTTGGGATTACTCTAACTGCTAGCAGGTAGTTATACACCCATATACAATCTTTGTTCATTTGGGAAGTGAAATGTGCAGTGTGTGAGTTGGTTGACGTGACATGTTTTGCATCTTTTAGAGCCCAAACAATTGCAGAGGTCCTATGTCATGTGATATTTTTTTCGAGGCACTTTACAGATGACACGGGGCTTATGCATTTTTCGTTTTTTTCACTTTGCAGATGACATGGGAGATTGCGTTTTTGGGATATGCCCGGCTACTCCCATGTCATCTGCAGGTACTACAGATGCCTTATTAAACCATTATTTAAAAACAGCACCCAAACAATTTTTAAAGGGGTACCCCATGAGTGACCGAGATCCTCAATAATGTAATTGTTTGGATGGTACCCTATTGTGCACAAAAAAAAATTGGGGCAATGTTTTGTTTTTGGGATTTAAAGGAAAATCAATTCAAAGTAGATTAAAACGAATTGAAAATAAATTGGTTTCAAATGAAACCCTTTCTTATCAATAGTTTTTTTCGAGGTTTAAAGAAAAAAATCAATTGAAAGTTGATTCACATGAATTGAAAGCAAATTGATTTCAATTGAAATCCTTTCTCATCAATATATGTTTTGAAGTTTAAAAGGGAAAAGCATTTGAACGTAGATTGATTTCAATTGAAATCCTTTCTTATCAATATATTTGTTTGAAGTTTAAAAAGAAAATCAATTCAAAGTAGATGATGAACATGAATTGAAAGTAAATTGATTTCAATTGAAATCCTTTCTTATCAATAGATTTCTTTGAGGTTTAAAAGGAAAATCAATTGAAAGTAGATTGATGTCAATTGAAATCCTTACTTAAGTTGACTATCCTAAAAATTGTTGAGGGGGGCCTACACTAATCAGGTTCCAACATTATGTGATGTTTGATTGGGCTTCGCACCTTTCAAATACGTCTCAATACGCAGTGGCTGGAGACATTTGCGGGACACGGGAAATGTGTTCTTCCTCTGAGCAACCCCAAGGCTGTCCAGAGAACCAACTGGCATCATGATGATCTTGGAATGTCGATAGCACCTTGGCGTCTTTAAGCCGAAAGGACTGCCTCCAACGTTCACGCACTATTATGTTTTATGATGTTTTATGATGTTTTATGTTGTGTTATGCATTTTTCCTTTGCAGCTTGCAGCTTTCGTTGCGCTTCTATATTTAAGGCCTTGGGGCAACCTTTGTTGAGAAGCTTCTCGATGGGATCATTTGGAGCCCTCTTGCAAAAAAGCTTTTGTGGAACTTCTTGTTTGATGGTGTCTTTGGAAACCTTGGCACTTGATATACCTCACACTTCTCAAACGCTTTGTGTTGGAAACAAAGCGTTTGGAAATCGGGCTTTGAAGGACTTGGTGCTGCAGAACGGGGGGAGTCTGGTGCTGGAGAATTTGTGTTTGGGAGCTCCAGGAACCCAGTGTTGCGATGTGAATTCGCCAGGGAGCCAGGGGCCAGGGGCGTCATAATCACGGTTGAGAAAGCAGCGTCATGAACAAGTACCAACATCCGCTGTTTGAACCTGGTCTTCCGAAACTCTATGAAACTCTGCAACAGGGATCAAAAGGGAACGTTCAAGGCGCTTCTTGGTGAGGAAAGGTCTCACCCGCGCATGCGTTTTGAGACTCACAGGCACACGCTTGCACTGACTCCCGCAAACCTGTTCAGAACTATGTTTGGAAGACCTTGCACTTTGTGGAACCTGGGCAACTGGGAATCTAGTTTCAGACTGTTTCAGAAGCTTCCAAATCCTTCAGAAATTTGCGACTTTCGGCAGCGGGGTTATACCCTTGGGGACTTGATTTCGCGAGATCTTTACGATACCGAAAGAGTCCTAGGGTCGAAAAGCCTACTATGGACGCACAGCAACATGACACAATGGCCCATGAGTCGACCAAAAGCAGTAGAAATATGATGAAATATGTAGAAATGAGCTGAACAAGGAAAATACGCTTAAGGCACCGGCCTGTTCATGATCCACGTGTGCACCCCCCCACAACCAGTCCAATAGGAGTGGCATTATTTGCTCGAGTTGAGCCGCTGGCGACAAAGGAAGAAACGAGTCCAACTTAATGCCACATACTTCACGCTGCATCTGCAAAATTGTATCATGAAACCGCAAACAGCGGTGTTCAGGAGACATTTCTCAAGGGCTCCATTACCACACACATCGTGCTACATCGTCCTACAATCATGCAACTTGCAGCGGATGTGTGTGCCAGGTGCAGGAACCAGGGTGCTTGGATTAACGCGGGACCGGAAAGAGGCCACAAGCATCCCAGCCAACATGAATACAAAACAGGCAAAACATGGCCAAGGTATCTCAAAACGGAGCATGCAATGCATTGCAATATCATGCATTCTCCACATTTGGCCGCCGGTGCAAAGCAAGGTGAAGGACATCTCTCCCTCAGAAAAAACTGGCGAACCTTTTTTGATCTTTTTTGGTGCGCCAGTCAAAAGCTGTGATTTCAATGGGTCTTCCTCCTTTGTGGACGTTGAGACTGTCATTGAACCATATTGAACCTCACGTTCACACGAACCAAAACGAGTCAGTTACCTTGAAACACCAATTTCAACACCGGATAAAATCCGGATAAAACGGGCTTACAAAACAGATCAAAACAGCAAGAAATTCAGGAAGAAACTGCACAAATCAAGCAGTCCTCAGCCGTGAACAGCGAATCCTTCCTCGGAAGTGCTCACTCCACTCTGCTCCCCTGACAAAACCAGAAACAAGTTGAACTTCAAGTTACAACAAACTTCACAAACAGGTCGCAACAGGCTGCATGCATGCTCTTGCCAATTCTGCCATTCCTCATATTGCAGCTGTTGGTTGCAAGCAGGACAGTCTCGTGTGTATGAATTGCCGGGTCGGGGTGCCAATGGCTGCCACTGCTGGCTTGTGTTCAAAGACTGACCGTCACAAGTTGAGGATAAATTGGATTGTGAAGGCTGATTGAATCTTACTTTTCAGCTCTATATGGAAATAGTATTCTGCTGCATTCTGAATTGTAACATGTCCTGCTTTGTGTTCGATGCCGGAAAGTATGGCTCAACTTGTGCAGGCAGCCCCAGCAGCCCGAGAACAAAATTCCTGGAATTTGGCCAGGACAACGGAACTTTGGGGCATGAGCCGCATGAAAAGCTGGAACTGCAGTGACACACTGCCCTCAGCTTTATCTCTGAGTCTCGGCCCACAAACAAAAACAAGTCGCATAAAATGCAAAGTGCTACATTTCAAGAGGTGAAGCACATCCATACGTACATCTATTGATACACCTGTCAATGCATCAGGACACGAAGGCCAATTTCACCTGTCAGCGAAAGCTTTTGCACATCTGCACATCTTGGCACACATGGTCTGGGTAAGTTGCAGGTCTTCAGGCACAGCTTCCAGCACAGTGTACCATGACATTGATGTGCATGATGCCACAACTCACGCACTTGACGTTTTCTGTCTATCTTTTTTCCCTTGTTTTTTTTTCTTCTCTCTCTCTCTCTCACATTTGTGACATGTTTTCTTCTCCTCTTGGCTACTGCGTGCGACACCTTTGACCTGTTCTGGCATCTTTTGAATTCAAAATGCGCAAGGGTACCGCAGAAAGCTGCGCCAGCGATCGAAGTCCTTTCAAAGAATGCCCGGAGGGTGGAAGAGAAGTTTGCATCAATCACAGACTTTCGAAGCAAAAGGTGCACATCACAGAAAATGCAGCAGTATACTACAGTAAACTCAGCACTTCCAAAGCTCCAAGGGATGTGCGTTTGTTCGAGATAATATTATATATATATTATATGTACATGTGTGCGCATCAGTATGTATGTATACATATGCATAGCAATATTTCTATCTGCACATAAGATACAACAACAATAGAACATATATTAATGTGTAGCAATATGTGCGCACACGGTATTAGATACAAGTATATCCTGGCGGGTGGGAAACCGCGCTAGCGGTTGAGCATGTTTAAAAAAAGGGGTCTGGCACTGTGGCCCCGAGCGCATTTTATAAGTCATGTTTCTATGAAATGATTTCATGGTATTTGCAGGGTTGTGTGGCTTTGGGATGATGGTTGTTTTTCACTTCTGCACACGCCGCTTGAGTCTGTCAAGCGTTTGCTTAGCCAGTGACTTGAGATTGCAAGAAACATGAACGATATTGCCCCCGCCCCACCCAAACCCCTAGCCATCACGCAGCCATGACGTAGCATCACTTGAGATTGCAAGTAACATAAACGTTATTGCCCCCACCCCACCCAAACCCCAAGCCATGACATAGTCCTAGCGTAGCACCACTTGAGATCGCAAGTAACATGAACGTTATTGCCCCCACCCCACCCAAACCCCAAGCCATCACGTAGCCATAGCGTAGCATCACTTGAGATTGCAAGTAACATGATTTATTGCCCCAGCCCCACCCAAACCCCAGCCATCACTAGCCCATACGCAGTAACATGAGCTTGAGATGCAAGTAACATGAACGTTATTGCCCCCACCCCACCCAAACCCCAAGCCATCATACGTAGCCATAGCGTAGCATCACTTGAGATTGCAAGTAACATAAACGTTATTGCCCCCACCCCACCCAAACCCCAAGCCATGACATAGTCCTAGCGTAGCACCACTTGAGATCGCAAGTAACATGAACGTTATTGCCCCCACCCCACCCAAACCCCAAGCCATCACGTAGCCATAGCGTAGCATCACTTGAGATTGCAAGTAACATGAATATCATTGACCCACCCGACCCCACCCAAACCCAATTTTCAAAAAGTGGCACGACTACACGCGCGGTTTTCCACCCGCTAGCAAGTATATCATCTTTTAATATAGCTTAATATCATGGCCAAGGGTCTGCGCGTCGCTTGCTTCCCAAGGGAGTGATGCTGGCATTTGGTTTGATATAGCGATCAAAATTCTCAGGGAGGTCCTTGGCACTTGGTGGAGCACATGTCGCAGACTGGGACGACACTCGGGCCGCTCGGGGATTTTGATTGTACATTGTGAGGACATGTTAATCAAAGTTTGTCGCAGGACCTTCTTAGAAGGGCAATGGATTTTGAATCCAGTGCTCTGTTCTAGGGCTCCTGAGGCTCCTGGCCAAATTGGCTAATGAAATTGCATGTCATTTCGTTCGACACTTTGGACAACTTCGTTGCGCAAGAAAATCCATGTCAGCCTTTTCATCGGCCGCTGTCTATGGACTGTATGTAATTCCTTCCAATGCACCAATCAGCAAATCTACTGTAATCAAATCTATGCATTGCTATGCACTGTTTCAATGGCACCCGTTTGATACCAAGTAATACCGAGTATATCCAGTCCACGTCTGGCTTGATCGGTATATAGTCCATGCTGCAAAGGCTCTTTTGGCCTGTTTCGGAGTGATGACTCTAACACTGACTTGGAGAGGAATTGAAAAACGTGACCTCAGTACAAGTCCGACCTGCGTTGCTTGCTAAGGTGCAAAGTCAGCAGATTCCAAGCGCTTGAGGAGTGGCATCGCCAGCCTTTCAGATTCCTTCCTTCGAGAAATCAAGACCAAGAGCTCCTGCCAAGTCAAGCGAACACAAGGAAAGCAACTGTGGACATCTTGCGCATCATACCAAGTACACTGCATGATAATGCTTCTTGATGTTTCTCAGTCGAATCACTTGGACATTGACATCACATTGCACTTAAATTCTCGGACAGATTCCCTGCCGACACGGTTTGTCAAGAATCAAACACAAGCAGTAACAAGACTAGGACGACCTGCAGGGCATGTTGCAAGCCACTCGAAGGCAAGGAATCACACAAGAGAGCAGGTTTATGGTTATCATGCATATTCCTTGTTTCAAATCATGTATGGAAAGGATATCACATCAACGAAAACAAAGCCATGCAAGAAGAAGGAATTAAAAAACAAAAAACATTTAGGATCATTCAGGAGCCAGGATTGTTACAAGAACGTGATGCATCAGTACTGAGGATATAACAACAGAAAGTGGAAAATGGACGCTGGAACCAAAGCAAAAGCACGTTTCAAATAGCAAGGGATGGACCTTTATGAAAAAAACATTAAAACAACATAAAACCACTGTGCAATACTGTGCATATCAGTACCCCCAACGAAGGTGATAGAATTTGCGGGGCAAGCATGCATCAGTAAAAATTGATGAAACTATACAAACATGCCACATGCTCATGTATGTTCATGAAATGTTCATGTCATATATGCCTTTCATGCGCCTTTTGGATCCTGTCGGCATCTAAGTCAAAGCTCCTCGATAATCTTTGGATGGATAAAGGCTCGCCTGAGTCAACACAGCAAATGAACACATTGATTGATTAATATTCATATAATTGTGAATTGTGATGCGTTGATGTGAGCCAACACGGTTTCGCGCTCATTGATGCTGGAAAGGATGGTCCGTTGATGTCCATTGCAACGGCCGGAAAACGACCAAATCATGTTGCTCCGTCTGCCTTGAAGGGGCGGCGTCTTTCAATCCGAGCGCTTCATCCAACAACTCCACCGCTTTGTCCTCAAACTTCAAACTGGGTTTGAAACGTCTCAGATCGTTTCAACTCTTCAAAAACATTCAAAAACCAAACCTCAATGCCAGACTTCAGTGCCAAAATGCACCAAGAATGCACCAAGCATCACCAAGCAGAGAGACATGCTTTATGTATCTTTATGATTCTTTATGCATCTTTATGTCATATGATGTAACTTTGCATCTTGAAATGCTCATCGACTGACCATGACCGACCTGCCGAGGTGCAAGCAAACCCAATTGAAGGCAGCACTGCACTAATTGCCTCGAGAAGCCCACGCCCATCTTTGAATTGTCTCACGTGCACACTAATGACTACTAGTTCTATCGAGTTGAGAACTGCAACCTTCGTTTTGTGTTGCTTTGCTAACTTGCTACAATTACTTGTCACGTTGTGCGTGCTCTTGGGACGTAGATTTGAAAGACTTGGAATCTGATGTATCTGATGTACCTAGATCATTCTAGACTGTCCAAATCAGTGCTTTGATATATTATTTGCTTTTGAAAATCATGAGACGGGTGCCTGCTGCCTTTTGGGGGTCGTTCATTCATGACTGCTTGAAGCCCGTGGATATCAGCCGACATCGATGGTGCTCAATGTCATCTGAAGAAAACCCACCGGAAATGTGGCTGCTTAAGGCTTCAGACCTGTGCTAAAAACTGTGATTGCTGAAGGCCTCTGATGACAGCGGTGCAAGCTAAACAATATTCCACGATCCTGCAGTAGCAACTGGGGTCGCGTGCTCATAGGTTCGGGTGCTTGGAGTGCAGTCAGCAGTCTCATATGTAGAAAGTGCCATCTCCGGTCTGCCTAGGCATTTTATTCGTTTGATCAAAGTAGATCGAGAAGCAGAAACATCCCGAAACCAAACAAAAGCACACCCCTAAAATACTTTAAATCAAAGCAAACTTCAGGAGTTTAGGAAGCTCGCAACTTATTGCAACTTCCGAGTGAAAAGGTCTTGCGTGAACCACCGCTGCTTGGTCCATGGTGCCGTTCCGAAGTGCTGCTGCAATGAGGGCCCCATACCTGAACTGCAGTGCGGTGTGGACAATCACTCTATTAGGGGTGGCTCGACAGCTCAAAGCACTGCAGCATTACACATCGTAACAAATTATGACTGTGGCACATTGTGGCACAATATGGCAATGAGATATCCTATCAGAATCCCATACATTCGCACGCGTAGAATGCAGCCGGCTTGCACTTCAGAATTTGGTTGAAGGCGATTTGTCTGGACCCACTCGTCGAAGATCACGTAGGCCCGCTTGATTTCGCCACGGGCAGAGTACAGTTTGATGCCTGACAGAACCAGCTATCGAAGGCAACCATATGCACGCCCCAAGGACACCCTAGGCTAGAACACGGCCAGTCATAAGTTTGTAATGAGAAGATAGGCCAAGATATCACCATGGACCAAAATATGCCAAGATGCATGCAGCCAAGGTTGTGTTTGAAAATTGTATGCCCAGGTCCTGCAAGAATGTCGATCATAAATCACCATTGAAGGTCACCATTGTTCTCCTGCCTTTTAGTTAGTGCCTTGCGGGATCTTGCGGGTCAACGTGTGTCAGCGTCATGTCAACAACGTCCTTCATGAAGTTCAGGATACGCTCAGCTTTTTGAAAGAGGTTGCGACTCACACAGCCCTCAAGCCTGAAAGGCTCGGAGCCGCTCTACCGAAACCCATGCAGACAGGCCGCAACAAATGGCATTTGCAGCTCAATGCGGCCGGGTCTCAAAATGTCAAAAAGCATTGCATCTGGCTGCAGCTTGCGCTGCAGCATCAACTCAAGGTATGTCAAGGCCTCTTCCACCTTCGAACCCCATCGCAGCTAAGAAAAAGAGCGCGTGTTGTTGCCAGGTATGCATAGGTATGCCAGGTTCTGGCATGAAATCTGGCCTATCAGTAGTGCCGCACAAGGTGGTGGCGGAAGTTTCAAAAATAGGCAACTATAGGAGAGGCGAGTTGTTGTGACGCATCGATGGCAGAACGAATGCACTGATGGACCGGAAGGTGGTTGGAGCTGTGCTTTTTTGGGGTGGTCGCAGCGGTCACTTCACCCACAACTGCTGGATGTAGTGTGGTGTAGTGTAATGTAGCATATTTGTAGTTGTAGTGTAGTGGCAGTTGCAGCTGTAGTTGTTGTAGTTGCAGCTGTAATAGTAGTTGTTGTAGTTTGTAGTTGTAATTGTAGTGTGGTGGTCGTTTAATGTAGTGGTAGTGGTAGTGGTGGTTAGTTGTAGCGCAGTGACAGTTGAAGTTTTAGTTGTGCTTGTAATTAGTAGTAGTAGTAGTTGTTGTAGTTGTATTTGTAGCATAGCGTTGTTGAGTCGTAGTCCCAGTTGTAGTTTCAGCTGTAGTTGTAGCTGTAGTTGTAGTGTCGTCGTGTAGGTGTAGGAGCAGGTGTAGGCGTGAGTGCAAAGGCATTTGTAGTTGCAAAATGTAGTTAAAGTTCTAGTAGTGGTAGATGCGGCTGTAGTTATTGTTGTTGTAGTTGTAGTTGTCGTCGTCGTCGGTAGTAGTAGTCAGTAGTAGTCAGTAGTAGTCAGTGGTACCCAATAGTACTCAGTAGTATTCAATAGTAGTTATGGGCACTCAGTAGTAGTCAGCAGTAGGTAGTAGTCGTCGTCGCCGTGGTGGTGGTGGTGGTAGTAGTAGTAGCAGTAGTAGTAGCAGTAGCAGTAGCAGTAGCAGTAGGAGTAGGAGTAGGAGGAGTAGGAGTAGGAGTAGGAGTAAGTAGTAAGTAGCAAGTAGTAAGTAGCAAGTAGCAAGTAGCAAGTAGCAAGTAGCAAGTAGCAAGCAGCAAGCAGCAAGCAGAAAGAGGCAAGTTTTTTAGTAGTAGTAGTAGTAGCAGTAGTAGTAGTAGTAGTACTAGTAGTAGTAGTAGTAGTAGTAGTAGTAGTAGTAGTAGTAGTAGGTAGTAGGTAGTAGGTAGTAGGTAGTAGGTAGTAGTAAGTAGTAAGTAGTAAGTAGTAA